CATTGAGACTGCCTGCCTCTGGCCTCCGGTGCTTTCCGGCCATCGCAAGTGCAGGAGGCAGTGAGTGGCATAAATCTGGAATCCATGTTGGCGACAGCTGCTTCTGCTTCTGCAAATAAGCGGGTTGTTTTTTTTTTCTTGTGTGTGTGTGTATTTGTAGCATGGGGGGGGGAAGAGAGAGGGAAGCAGCCGGTGTGACATGACATCATGTTGCAGAGAGGCATAGTCTCTCCTTCTCCCCCCCCCCCACAACTCCTTTAATCAGGAGGGCAGGGCTCCCTGACCCCCCCCCAGCCTGCCTGCCCCAGTAGTTTTCTTATTCCTTCTGCTGCTGCAGCTCCTCCCCCCCCACCGGCAGAATAAAAAAAAGCAGATTTCCCCCCCTCCCCCCAAGAGGTGGACAGACAGACATGTGAAAAGAGCACTTTGTTTGGGTCTGGTTTCCTTTTCCTTGGCTGGGGGGGGGAGGCGGGGAGGGAGGAGGAGAAGAAGAATGCCCAGCGTCCTCAGATGCTCTCTATCTATCTATCTATCTATCTATCTATCTATCTATCTATCTATCTATATATATATATTGCATTTTGCAGGGGGGCAGGTGGAGAGAAAGGACAGCCGAGGGCCGTGGGTTGAATTCTCAGTGCGTCATGCCAGCGATGGTGGGAGACTTTTGGGGGGGCTCTGTGTACCCACGCGCTGGCTGGGCTGTGGAATCCCCTGATTCGGTTCCCTTCTGCTCCTTTTTTGCGTAGACAAAGGGGAGGGAAAAAAAACAGAAGCCCAGCAGTGAGAATTGAGGGTTTGCCTGATTTATATGGCTCAAGGGTGGTTGCAAGGAAAAAGCAGCCCAAGGTGGTTCAAGGCAGAAATTCAGGTTGCAAAAGCTAGCGGCAGGCAGGGATCTATGCTTGCCTACTTCCCTTTCACCGTTCCTCAGCCGTGCCTTGATTCGGTTATTGTCCTTGTCTTCAGGCTCCAAAAAGGCGTCCGTGTTGCAGAAAAGTGCTGCACACACCCCTTTTGTGGTGTCATGATAAATCTTTGCTCAAGGCCAGCAGATTTTTTGGGGGTGGGGGGCTGGTGGGGGGGGAGAAGGCATTTTAGGGAATAGGAGGAGGGAAGATGAATGAATGGACATCATCCTCAAGCTCAGGATGACTTTACTGTTTTTCATTAATAGCCGCCCCCTTCCCAAAAGATGCTCAGCATGAAAATGCAAAGCCGGCCAGCTTTCCTGATTGGCTGAGACTGTTGCTCTGCCCACAGTAACAAGTGCATGCAAATTAACTCACGCCCATCTAGGGTTGGACAATCGGCTGAAATGGCATTGCGCTTCATGGGTAGGACGGGAACATGGAGGAGGCCTCGAAGAGAGTAGGAAGGAAGCCCACAGAGAAGGAAATGAGTGTCTGATAGGAGACCATCTTGGTCATGGCTGATGCTCCATGTCTTCTGTTAGTCATCGCTTGCCAAGCTCTCAGAAGCTCCCTAGATCTTCTGTCTCTGAGAAGGACAACTCCTTTCTCTCTCGCCCTCTCTTCTCCTTCCTGTACATGGTCCCTGTCACGAGATGAGAGGGGATGTCCTTCAGGCTGCCTCAAAGGAAGATGCCAGTCTAGTGTTCAGTCCTGCATCGGGTGAAAACAGACCCAGAAAAAAAAAATCATGGGAACACAGACTTGCTTTGCCTATTATGCTCTCTGGCTATCAACAACTACAGTAAATCAGGGAGGGAGGGAGGGAGGAAGGAAGGAAAAAAAGGAGAGAAGGAAGGGTAAAGGAAGGAAGGTGAAAAGAAGGAGGGAGGAAGGAGGGAGGGAAGAAAGGAAAAAAGGAAGGAAGGAAGGAAGGAAGAAGAAAAGGAAGGAAGGAAGGAAGGAAGGGAGGGAGGAGAAAAGGGAGAGGAAGGATGGTTGAAGGGAGGGAGGGAGGAAGGAGGGAAGGAAGGAAGGAAGGGGAGAAGGGGGGAGGAAGGAAGGACCAAGGAAAGAGAGAGGGAGGGAGTGAGGGAGGGCAAGAGAAAAGGGAGGAACACACTTTGGTCTACTTGAGAAAGTGAATATTTTAAAAACCTGTACTAACTAAGCGTTGAGGCAGAATGTCTCAGGATTATTTGTTCTACACAATCCTGTCTAGGGAAGTTTCCTCTCTGCATCACTGCAGCTTCTGAGGGAATTCACACACATGCTAGAGCTTTCCTCAGTCATTGGGTTGCCCTTTAACACCCTCACTAAAAGCCGACGATTGCGTGTGCAAACACTGAATCGTTCCACATTCCATGCGGAATGAAACAGTAAAGCCCATATAAAAATGACAAATGCTATAACTGAAGTAGTTCGTGGACCACAAGAAGAAGGAATCCAACTTTAGAATGTGTAGGACGGCTCCTCCTTTGAATTATATTGTCCTGTTCTGGGCACCACCCTTACAGGACAGCGTTTGGAGAAAGGCAGCAAGGATCAGTAGAAGATGAATGAGCCGAGGTGGCGCAGCAGTTAGAGTGCAGTACTGCAGGCCACTTTAGCTGACTGTGTTCAGCAGGTCAGCGGTTCATATCTCACCGGCTCAAGGTTGACTCAGCCTTCCATCCTTCCGGGGTAGGTAAAATGAGGACCCAGATTGTTGGGGGCAATGTAATATATATATATATATATATATATATATATATATATATATATATATATATATATATATATATATATATACACACACACACACACACACACACACATTGCTTACTGGTGTACACCGCTTAGAGAGTGCTTGCACTTAAAGCGGTATATAAGTCTCATAAATAAATAAATAAATAAATAAATAAATAAATAAATAAGACTAACAGTTAAGACTGTTCATAAAAAAGAAATTAAAGTTAAGATGGTTCAGAATTAGAACGGTAGTCTCCAGAGACCCAAGAGGTTGTCACACTTTCCTCATTCCACAGGGTAGGACAGGAAAGGAATTAAGTTTGCTTCTAATCTCTATAATCCTAGGATGTAGGTTGGTCTCATGTCCTGGCTAGCCACTGATGTCATAATTGTAATAGAAGAAAGTAAGTTTTCTTCGCATGGGAGTATTTGGTGATAAGTTGGAAATAGCTGAATTGGTTGTTTTAGGTGAATTCAGATTAGTTGTCCGAACCTTGGAATTAAAACCCAGAAAATTACCAAAGAACATTACTTCGAACCCTCTGAATGTGGAATCTTTGCTGAAGGAATTTCTTGGAAGACAATGTTGATATCTCAACATTAGTTCAATGGGACTAATTATAATCCTCCCCTGTTAATCAAAATGGATGGAAATATTTGTATCCCCTGCACATGTGCTTGCGCACGTGCACAGGCACAAAGACAACTTTAAGATATTACTTTTTCAACCCTGTTGTTGAAAATTCTCTTCAGCTGCCTATTGTATGGCTGCTGTAGTGGTATGTAGTTGCAGCAATGGCTTAGAGGGAGGTTCTGATTTCCACTGGCCAGTTAGTTTCATAAAGCATTATTATTATTATTATTATTTTCAAAGTGGGTCAAGTTGTTTTGTCATTGCAAGCGTGGATTCCTGGTCCTTTTGCAACAAGCCCTGGTTACTACGGAAACCATAGAAGACATTTGCCATGCCTGTTCCTGGTCTGAGTCCAGAAAAACACTGGGACTGAGCAGAAACAGCAAAGGTTTTGGAAGCTCACGATGAAGAGTTGTCAAGAAGGACAGCAAATTGTCATATGTCCCTAAAGTTGTTTAATTCTGCTTCCTCCGTAAGCAGCAAGATGGGATCACTTAACTGGGAATCGTGAATTCTGGGTTGCTTCCAATTCCTTTCCAAATACAAAGTCATGGATCTTGATCAGTGGTGGGATTCAGCCGGTTCGCACCACTTTGGCAGAACAGGTAGCTAATTTTTTGTTGCCCAGGCCCAGAATGGACATCTGGAAGTGGCATCCACGCAGAGAACTGATTCGCATATTTGAATCCCACCACTGATCTTGATATAATACTTATGGCAACAGTGGAAGTTCATGCGCTGGGCTTGGGTTTACGTTGAATTCAACGAAATCAAAACTATGGCCATCTTATGTTTATCAATTTTAGTGGGATCCAGTTTCAACTAATTTTCTCTCTCTGACGTTTGGTCAAATGTAAATATATACATTTGCCATTTGTAAAGAGAAGCCAATGAACTGCATAGACGTATAAATCAACTTTTAGCAACCACATAGATAGTTTTTCTCCTTGATGATCTGGCTCTAACTTGGTCCTTCTGGTGTCCCAATAGATAGTTAATCATGGCTACTCTGAGTCCATCTTCGCTGCTCCTGGTTGTCCCTTTCTTCTCTTTCCTTCCACCTTTCTTGGCATTAGAACCTTCTGCACAAAGATAGGCCTTCACATCACATAACTACAATAGGATCATTTGAGCCAGGTCATGGGTGATCTTAAGATCTATATGCTATTTATTTTGGAAAACAAAATGATGCCCATTTCTTGAACGTTAATTCTCTCTTGATTCTCCCCCCCCCCCAGTGGCATAAAATTGAGATGGCTTAGAGTAACGGTCCCCAACTTTTCCGGCTCCACGGACTGGCATTGGAGGCAGGGGGAGGATGGTTTCATGTGCAAGCCCGTCGCTTGCTCAGATGGAGCTTCGCCTGCTTGCCTGTCGCAATGGTCTTTGGACTGGTACGGGTCCGTGGCCTGGGGATTGGGGACCCTTGGTTTAGAGTAGATCAAATGAAAGAAAAAGCAGACTTCACAAAGCTGTTTCAGCTGCAGCCTAGTTGCTCTATCAGACTTGATTCCACCGCAGGCTCTGCATTTTGGTGACTTGCATCCGTTTTGAGGAAACATTAGAAAAGACGGACGTTTCCTCTGGAAAGAAAGATTTTAGAGGATTAAGACTACAGGCATCTCTAGTCTCCACATTAAATGTCTTCACTTGCTACACAAGTTGGCTCAGCCAACTTCCTGTGATGGGTTTTTCACTTGATGTTCTCTCTTTCTTCTCCCCAGCACTGCCAGTAACTCGAACCGCAGTACTCCCACTTGCTCCCCAGTCCTGCGCAAACGCTCCCGGTCTCCCACGCCACAGGACCCCCAAGGAGATACCATGGTGGAGAAGGGGTCAGATCATTCTTCTGACAAGTCTCCTTCCACGCCAGAGCAAGGCGTGCAGCGAAGCTGTTCCTCTCAATCCGGTCGTGGTGGCACCAAGAATTCTAAGGTGAGTTGACTTGTTCATTGTTGAGTGCTCTTTATCTTCTCGTTCACCTTTCCCAGTAGGCCTTTCTCGTTCTGAGCTTGCCTCCTTTTCACTGTCTCACTTTATCTTGATTTTGAGGTCTGCTGATCAGGTCTTGGTTGACTATCTGCTTTCCTATGTTTAGCTTGTCAATGGTGGTACCGAGTGCCAAACATCTGGCCTCAACTCCCATGTTACGCGATGACAACTGGATGGAGATCCCACAGCTATCAAGTTCTGAGATGAACCTTGATGGTGGATGGGACTTTGAATTTTTTCCTCCCTCCTGTTTTTTTTTTTTTTTTTTACAAGCAACATTGGAAAAAGTGCCTACCTCTTCATACACCAGGGTCAGCTACCCAATATAAGAGGAATGTTAAGCTTGTTAACAAGATGTCCCAGATGTTCTGGATCATCCAATAAATCATTGTAAAAGGAAGCACTCAACTTTGAATAAACTTCTGGGCAAATCTTAAGAACCTCTGCAACAGAACAAGATTTTCTTGGGGGAGAAGCCATTTTTGGAATCGTTCCTCGAGGTTTCAAAATTGCTTGATCCCCATTTTAAATCAAAAGCTCCTTTTCCATCCTCACAACAGAAGCCGGAAGTAACGGGAATAATTAAACTCTATTGAAGTCTGTTATTGTTTCTAAAGAGGAGGAATGAAATAGCAAGCACCTACAGGTATGCGTGCCTGTAAATTAGGTGTAGGTGAAAAAAAAATGTGTCTCACATTTCACAAAGCGAGCTTTTGAAATTTCCTCTTTCTTTCTTTTCATTCATTTTCCCTGGATCTTCCGGCATTAGCCAATCAGACTTTGTAAAATAAAGACAGGCCTACCCTGAACAATCAGAGTGGGATATTACAGCATTTCCCGCTAAGGGAAAACAGAATTGCTTGTAAGGATATCGTTTTCAAAAGAAGAATGTTTCTCTGAGTATCAGACTGTGGATCGTCAGCTCAGAAAGCAAACCAAACAACATTTTTTCCACCAACCTGGCTTTTGTGGCTGGTAGGCTCAAGGAGAAGAGAAGCCCACTTAATCACCCCTCAAATTCCTTTCTCTTCCAATTAGAGGGCTCAAAGTAGGAAAAACAAGACCCCCTCCAAAAAAACCATCAAACCTCCAAAACTCAAGTTTCTTGCACAGGGATGCCCAACCTTGGCTACTTCAAGACTAGTGGACTTCAACTCCCAGAATTCCCCAGACGGCCACACTGGCTGCGGAATTCTGGGAGCTGAAGTCTAGAGGCCTTTCTACATTACTAATAGAAAGACTCAAGGTCTTTCTACCTTATTAATAAAAAGATGTTGACGCTGTTCGTTTTGTTTACTTCTCAGTGGTAAGTTTTAATTTAACCGTCCACCTCTTTCTTCCATGGTTTTTTTCTATTTCCTTTTTTTTTCTTTGCCACCAAGCACCTATCTAAAATCAGCTTTCTTTTTACTCCGTTCAGTTCCTTTCTGTTTGCAGCCAATAAATTGGACCCTAGAAAAATTGAATTCTTTTCAGCTGGTGGCATCTCATGGGATCTATTTGCCAGGGCATTTGAACATGACCCTCTAGCCCAGGGGTCTTCAAACTTGGCCCTTTTATGACTTGTGGACTTCAACTCCCAGAATTCCTCAGCCAGCGTGCCTGGCTGAGGAATTCTGGGAGTTGAAGTCCACAAGTCATAAAAGGGCCAAGTTTGAAGACCCCTGCTCTAGTCTATTTTTTTTCCAATATGCAAGTTCAGGCATAGGTATTTAAATAAGATTGTGATTTCACCTAAAAACCAGTTGTGTATGATTGAGATGGCCAATCAATCAAAATACCCATTGACCAGAAGCCAGATTGATGAACTTCTACTTCACCACTATATGTAGTGCACCAGGACACTCAGTTGCTTTTCCCCCCTTTCCTAGCAAGTTGATAGATTTCTAAATGGTGCTTCAAGTATAGGCACTCATTATTTTGATCTATGAGCGCAGTGGTTGGAATGCACTATTGCAAGCTAATTCTGCCGATTGCCGGCAGTTCAAATCTGACTGGCTCAAGGTTGACTCAGCCTTTTTGGTCCTAATTTTATCAATCTTGGAAGGATGGAAGGCTGAGTCAACCTTGACCTGATCAGGATCGAACTCCTGGCAGTGGGCAGAGTTAGCCTGCAATACTATATTCTAACCACTATGCCACCGGAAAGAAAGAAGGAAGGAAAGGAAGGAAGGAAGGAAGGCTGAGTCAACCTTGAGCTGGTCAGGATCGAACTCCTGGCAGTGGGCAGAGTTAGCCTGCAATGCTGCATTCTAACCATTGCGCCACCACGGCCCTTATAAATACATATATAAATATACAACACGTAGAATAGCCCACTGCACGCATTCTGGAGAGAGAGAGAAGTTCCCTGAGGATGGGCTTCAGCACAAGCCCAAAAACTTGGAAGAATAAACCTTTGATCCCCATGACTGACTCAGATTGGATCCTGCAACATTATCTTGGGACAGTACATTTACCTTCATTCATGATTGACCTCTCTATAATGAGATTTACAGGCTGTCATGGCACTATGTTGCCAACAGAGGGGGCCCTTTCCTAGCCTATCTATCCCCTAAGCAAGGTTGATGCAACTTTTACACCAACCCATATCCTCACTTCACCCCGGGCCCCACAGCTCGGTGCCTGATGTACATGCAAGGAAAATATTTTTGAGTCAGCTGAAAACATTATCCTTTTGAGAGAGTAATCCCATACTTTGGAATTAAACATTAGGGGCATGCAGGGGGTTGTAAAGGCCTATTCTTGGAAGGGCCTGTTGCCATCGTGTGGTCCTGGATGTCTGTCCCTTGTGCCTGATTTTGTGCACACTCTGGAGAATATTCTGTTTCCCAAGTCAGTTCATGGTGAAGAATAACATGCTGGCTGATTTAAGTATCTTTAAGTATTTAAGCGTGCAAAATAATCTGGCGGTAAATGGTGGACATGGAATGGAGTAGCCCTTCTGCCAAGCAAGCCAGTCCCTTTAGTTGGTAAACAAAGGCCATGCTGCTTAATTTAAAAGGTTGGTGGACCCAAGCCCATTTGGACTTGTCATGCTGGGGTGAATTATAGTTCACATCTGTGAACTATAATTAAAAGTTAAAGCCACTGCCAGGGTTGTAAGCAACTCAGACTTTTGTAGGTCCTTCTTTGGGGTGTTCGTTGATGCTCCTACATGTGAGATCCAGGAACCCAAGGGAGGATAGGAATAAGAACAGCCCTCAGGGGTTCCAACAGACAAGAATATTTGTAGCTCAGGGTTGAATTATGAGATCCTTGGAGATTTCTGAGCTTGGTTGTTTTCTTGTAGACGTTTCATTACCCAACTAGGTAACATCATCTGCAAGAGGCTAAGATCAGGGAGCACCAAGGACGTCACAATTCAATCCTGACCAAGGACCCACCTTGGGTTCATTTTTTCATATGCCCCTAAAGAGTGGGATTATCAGAACTGAAGAAGCCCTCAGGGGCTCCCAAGAAATGAAATGGAGGAATCTGTGGCCTTCAATCCCTCACCATCTTTCCTCAGGACAAGGGGCACAGCCATTTGCATTGGCCAAACTGGCCCTTGTCGAGACAAGTGATGGGTGCTCTGAGGCTGCCCTTGTAAAATGCTGCTGGATCCTGGAAATTTTAAAGCACTAATCTCTTCTGCGTTTCTTGAGGTTCCTGGATCTTGGAATCCATTGCTCCTCTGCCTACTGGATAATTGACATGGGAAGTTCTCATTGACATTGCTTCAGCTCTCAGCAAACTGAACTGACCCTTCGGGATGTAAACAGATGGAGGGCTGAAGCAAACTAGTTGCTATCCTGGGATCCTGATCAGGTGACAAACTCATAGTCTCAACCAATTCAAAAGTGACTTATGACGATTTTTCACACTTAAGACCTTTTTAGCATCGCCATGATCATGTGATCAAAACTGAGATGCTTGGCAACTGGTTCATGACTGTTGCTCTGTCCTGGGGATCACGTGATCCCCTTTTGCAACCTTTTCACAAGCAAAATAATGGGGAAGCCAAATTCACTGAACAAACCATGCTCATAAAATGGGGCAACACACACTGAAGAAACGTCTCACTTAACAACAGAAATTTTGGGCTCAATTGCAGCCGTACGTCAAGGACTTCCTGTATAACCTTTACAAATATGTTCAGTTACACATAGCTGGTCAAGCCCTGTGCAGTTCAGAGCCATGAAAACTCACCATTAGGAGATGCTGCAAAATGGCGCGACGTTGTTAGAATTTATTTTCTTTTTATTTCTCTGTCCCTATAGCTTTTCTCTACTACATGTTGGCTTTTACCCCCATGCACAAATATCTATCCTGTCCACCTTTAGATCTATAAATTACTTTTCTTTTCTTTCTAACGTTTTCATGGTTTTCTTTTTTCTTTTCCCCAGTATGACAGATTAAACCTGATCAAAGTAAGAACTTGACTCTCTCTTGTTTCCTCACTATGCCCTTCCTGGTTTTCCTTCCCCCCCCCCCTCCTTTGTCCTTCCCTTGCTTGAATCAAAAAGTTCGATTGGATTCAGAAAGTTGCTAACTTAGTGGGAGGGGCAGGCTTCCAGGAGAATCTTTGCTCAGACTGAGGGTAGGATGAGAAGCAAGGGATAAAAGCTTACCAAATAGAGAAGCAACTTCTTAGTTCTAAGGAGAAATTAATTCCATGACAGTTAGAACAATTAACCAGTGGAATGCCTTGCTTCCAGAAGTTGTGGGTGCTCCATCACTGGAGGTTTTCAAGAGGAGACTATAGACAGCCATTAATCTGGGACGGTATAGGAAAGAGGTGTCCAATCATGGCAACTTGAAGATTTGTAGACTTCAACTCCAGAATTCCCCCAGCCAAGTTTTCAAGTTGCCAAGGTTGGACACCCCTGGTGTAGCACCTCCTGATCGAGCAGGGCGTTGGACTTGAAGACCTCTGACTCTTGCTATTCCGCACTCTGCTTTCCACTGGAACCCTTGGAACTTGGTTCACCAAATTTGCTTGAAACGCAGATCTGTTCCCAGCCCTTCCTGTCTTTTATGTCTTGCGCTGATCCAACTGCGCAACTAAAAATTCCGTATTGCTATTGGCATTCTTTGTAAGAAAGATACTCAGGTTCTTGACAATTTTAGCTGCCAGTTTCTTTCTCTTCTCCTATACATCAGTATTCTTGAATGGGCTAAAAAAAACCCATCATCATACATGTTAAGAAGATGTTTAGATATTCCACCTTTTCAGCATAGTCTTGCCGAAGAGTTTCAACAACTCTTTGGTATACTGCTTATGTAAATTCCGATTTGACATCTAACCAGACTTTCAGTATTGACTCAGTATGTGCTAATTAGCCCTGTGTACTCAATTAACCAAGGATTTATCATTTAAATTCAAAACAGACCCTTGGATTCCATTGAGAAAACAGATATGACATCTTTTACAGCATCATGAGTTTCTATTGATAGAAACATTACAAGATAGTCATCTTTATGATACTGTAGATTTGTCATTTACCTGCCTGCATTTCACCACCTCGAGCGCGCCCTTTTACCTTTTTATAAGCTCTGCATTTTTTCCCCTTGTTTATGTTCCTTTTTTTAAAAAAAAAAATGCTCGGTAAAAGTAGTAGCCACCAGTGGTTTGCTATGTTCTGTGCTTGGTTTCCATTTTAGGTTTTAGCTCTCATATTTATATATTGGTTATTTGTTCATTAGTTACATTATTATTACTGTGGGTTTATCTGGTATGCTGCTCAGAGTCACGCTAAGTTGGGTGACCTTAAAAATGTCAAAATAAGTAAATAAATCACTGCAACACTAAAATATTCTTGAGGTTATCCCTGTCCTCCCATGTTAACTTTTAATGTTCAATGTTTTAATTGTTGCTTTTATTGTATGCCGCCCAGAGTTTACTCAACAGTGAGATGGGTGATGTATCAATTTAACAAGCAAGCAAACAAACAAACAAATAAATAAGTAATATTATTTATTCAGTCAGTCATTGACTCATTTGGATCCATAGCCAAGGATGTGAAAAGACAGCATCAGAAACACAACAGCAGAAGTTGCAAAATTTAAACAGCAACCTTGGCAGGGACTTTCTAGTAAACATTGTTCCAGAACACAAATTTCAAATTCTTTACAAATTTTATTTTATATTTTATATTTTATATTATTTTATATTTTATATTATTTTATATCTTATATTATTTTATATTTTATATTATTTATTTTATATTTTATATTTATTTTATATTATTTTATTTATTTATTATTTATTATTTTATTTTTATTTTATTTTATTTTATTTTATTATATTTTATATTTTATTTATTTTATTTTTAGATATATCTGCTGCTTGCCTTGTCTAGAGGTGACCTTGGGCTTAGAAACATTAAAAGGTCTGGATTTAAATCCTGATCGAAAGAGAGCTACACAAAAGGTAGTTCTTTGAAGGAGATGTCCTTCCTAGGGAGTCTGCATACAAGATACAATCCATTAAAACTCCTCCCTGCTAATCAGGTCCAAAACTGGGCAGTAAATTAAGCAGCCGATAAGGCCAAACCAAATAAGATGTATGTGTCATCAGAGCGAGAACATTTGCCATCCACCAAGGGAGGGGAAGCCATTATATTGCATATAAAGACTTGCCGTCATGAAAAACGCACCTTGTTTTGCTTCTCCCACCTGCAGTTTCTAAAGTCAGAAGGGACCTTGGTTTCCACAGAGCTATTGGTGCTTGAAGACTCTTAAAGAGATCTCAGAAAGTAACTCTCAAAAGAGATCTTTAAGGATCTCAAAAATTAACACTCTAAAACACGTGAGAATGACCGGAAGCCAAAAACCTTTGGAATAACAAGGATGGGGCATATTCCGTAAAGCCTATCCTTTGGATCACTTTCATTTCTGAATATTTCTCCAAGGCGGTTCCAGGATTGGAATTGATCAACAAACAGGGCATATGTCATCCAAGCAGCTGAATTCCATGGTGAAGCTACCCAAATATCATCTTAGCTCTTGTAGTCTGAAAGCCGAGTTGGAGATTGGTTTTGGTTTGCAAGTTTGATGGCTCCAACTACCTTCTTAACTACTATATTTTGATTTGCTTTCTCAGCCATCCCTAACCCTGAATTTGCTGTCTTTTTTTCAAGATTGTCATGTTCAGGCTGAATCATCATCCTTTGTTTTAGGCTGGGAGTCACTGAGCTGAGATATAGCTAAAGCTATTCGCATCTGAACTGCCCAAGAAACTCTCTTTGTATCTATTGTTTGCTTAAGTAAACAGGAGTGAATGTAGGCTTAACCATGGAAAACATTTTTTCCCAAACTCGGCCAAACCACAGAGGTATAACTTCAGAAAAAGCGGGCCATCCCAATTGGTTGTCCGTGTTGACTTTTTCTCTGTAGCAGCAACAATGCCTAAGAAACATAAAGACATAAACATTACTTATATTACAGAGTTGAAGAAGTTGATGAATAGATGCCATAGACCAGTGGTTCTCAACGTTTGTGTGACGGCGACCCCCGTCACACAAACGCGCCGCGCATGTGCGGAGTGGCGCGCATGCGCGGCGCCGCCCCCTGAGGGGGAAAAATGGCGGATCGCCTTGTTTGGCGACCCCCGAGAAATGGTCGATCAATCCCAAATGGGGTCACGACCCATAGGTTGAGAACCGCTGCCATAGACAGAGAGATTGGGTGGTGCAGTTTTGCCCGCCTTGTCTTTATTTGAGCCTTTATTCTACTACAGGCAGAACTCCTGAAAACACAACCAAGATTTTATACAACACAACATCAGACATGTTCTGATAACCAGATTAAATCTGAAAATTTCTCTTCACGGGTACCCCACTTCCTGCCATTTATATATCTTGTATAGCTTACTGCCAGCCCCAAAAGATAAATAAACATAAGATAATTGGCCGTATCATTTCTGTAAATTAAATTAATATCTGAAACGAGTAGGAACGGGACACATTTTCCAAGTTTGCACAACAAATCTATTTGAACTTCTAGTGCTGCAGCAGAAGCTACAGGTTCTAGCTCTGAAATGCATAGTTTTGGCCTTGAGCTATGGCCTCGTGTGTTCCACTTATTGATTTTTTTTGGGGGGTATTTGATGTAAAAACTCCATGATGAAAGCCAGTTGATCAATGCTTGGATTTGCCAGATTAGAAAGAAATTATGAGCACAAATGATGTTCCTGAGTGAGAGCTTGGGGTCATTTGCTACTTACAATCAATGTTCTGATTTGGCCAATGAGTTGTGATAAAAGCCTACAAGTCCGTTCTAGAAGCAGTGAAGTTCTGTTTTGTTTCTCCATCGTGTCTATTTTCAGGGCTGCTAGCCAACCCTTGGCATGACTTTTCCAAAGTTTTAGGTGGTTGCTGGTTTTTTCCCTCTCGTTCTTCTTCCTTTGCTTAGTCCTGCAACCTCCATACTAACTGCTTCTTTTTTGTTTGTTATTTTTGTTTTCTCTTTACAGAAAAGCCAGAGTTGGTACAATGTAAGTATTTCAGCTTTTTTATTAATAAATAAATAAATAAATTCATGTTGCTTGCATGAAGGGAAGATGGTTGAGAGGATATTAGCTTTTGCAATTTTATCCTTCAGCATGAAAAGAAGGATATGAAATGAGTCTTAAGATTTTGGAGTCGCCGTGGATATTGGCTTTTTATTAACAAGAACCATAGATATTCCTCGGCATAGAAAAGGCCCCTTGGGACTGTTAGATCCTTAGTATCTGTGGCTGCAGAACATCAAAAGGAGTCAGATGCTCTCTTTTTCTAGAGAGCCCATTTTATTCAAGTGTTTGGGATTCATTGTGCATCTCATGAGGTGAACTGCAGCATAAGCAAACTTTTAATAAAATTTGCTAGGGGGGCAAGGGGGCCACCTGAGGCCTTCTGATTTTTTTTGCTAGATCCTTAGAATATGGCAAATTTTATTGAGCCGAAATAGACAGGAAATCAGGTCCAGAATATGTGGGTGTGTTCAAAAGGGAATGAATGTTATATTTTAATGCAATTTTTTAATAGTCTCTTTCCTTTTTGTCCCTGGATTTTCTGTTTTCCACATTTAAGGGTGTTTATGTAGGAAATGCTGTTGGATTGACTTTCCATAAGCATAAATTGAATGTATTTTGGGGGCCTGGTTGGATTCTTTTCCTGGAGGAAAAAAACAACAACCTTGGAGCATTTTGGATCTAAATAAAAGAAACATTTTTAGTTGATTTCACTTCATGCAGTGTCTTGCACTTTAGCCAAGACCAGCCAATCTTTTGTTCTCATGTGTGGTCTTCTTCCTTAAATTTTGAAGCAACAATTAATTTTAATTTTTGGTTGAATAACTTGGGCTCTTCTGAACTTTAAATCATGGTTTGTACAAAACGGGATAATGTTCAGATTATTGGACAGTTTCCGCTGCAAAGGGGCCGTGGCACAAACACGAAGGAACTGTGTTTCAGTTTGTTAAGTTGAAATGTGCTCTCTGCATTTTGTGTGTTTAGACCTGTTTTCCTGGGTGGTGAATTGATCCTATGCTGGACTAATTCTCCTTAGGAAGTCTCTTTTTTGCTATCCATTTGCTGTGTTCTTTGGCTAATGTATGCCATGAAAAGTATAGAAATAGACTGTCCATCCCTTTGTATGTGTGCCAAGCAAATTAAATTTGTCAAACTCTTCTTTGCTCTTGTGAATTTGGATGCCCAAAATTGACATTCTGATATAATTTCTTGGAGAAGCAGATCATTCTCCCTCTATCTTTAGTCCTTCATTCAGCCTGATTATTTGACTTGTGTTTCAATAAAAACAGACGATAATCATCAGCTTTGGTTTATTCTTAAACATCAGGTAAATTTATTTATTTATTGAAAAAAAATTATGCAGCTGCCCATCTTTCAGCTAATTCTGGGCGACTCCCAATCAAGAATTAAAAGATGTATAAAATCATTTTAAAACCTAAAAAAACACAACTGGTTAAAGCTTAAAATATTAAAACAACAAAAACCTGGTGCTAGTCCATGTTTACTATAAAACAAATCTACTGTGACGGTGTCTTTAAGTATCTTAGACCCTTGTGTAAATTAAAAGATTTAGAGGAAAGTTCCCTGAAAGCATGGAAGAATTCAATTTGAATTCTTTGTTTTCTTTATAGTCTTTATCTGTCTAGACTGTGTGCATGTTCAGCAAGCACACCTAGACTTTCTAGGTAAACTGTTTTGTCTTCAAGTATGATGTGACTCTTGACAACCACATGAACAAGCCCATGCGTGTTTCTTGGCCACCATTTTTATATTGTCTTTGCCCTGCTGAGGTAGAACAATTATCGATGTGAAATTTGTAATATTAAGAGGTTGATGGATAAAGCAAAAAAATAAAAGTTGCAATTGTTTTCATAGTCTAGGTGATAGGTGATGGTTTGGCTAATACTGTGTGACGGGTTTTGTATTTCATACGCGTGTAAAGCCAGCGGCACCTGCCCTGTCCTTGTTTTATTTCTGTCACCTTGTTTCTCCTCCATGTACCTTCAGCATGAAAGACAACACATCCGAAGAGTAAGCAATGACTGCTCTATCGCTGGATAATTTTTTCCCCTTGTCCTCCTGCTCGTTTTCCCCAGATGAAAACCGTGCTTATGGAATAGGGCTGGTTGTCCCCCCTCCCCTAAATCCAAGATGTCAAAATTCCACTCTTTATTATACTCTTGAGTCCTAAGAGGTTGGGACTCTTGCTGGTTCTGTTTTATAATTTCGTGGTCTGGAATGAAACCTGGAAAGAAGGGAGGGAACTGCCCAGATCTGAGAGGTACCTTTCACCTTAAATTCTGAAGAAAAACAAAAACAAGCTTGGCCACCGATCCTATTGATTGGGATGGGCCTCTTTTATTACTAATAAAACAGTTATGTACGGAGCTGTAGAACTCCTGCCTTGGAATGGACTCAGACGTTGTAACTTTTTAGAAGATCCCTGATGGTAAAAGTGTCAATGACACCAGCTCTATTCTTGCAAGTTTTTTGCTGATTGTTTGATCTCCTACTAGCCTTCCTTACTGTTGTGATGTCCTTTTTGCTAGTCCTTCCCATCTTATGGTTCTAGTGAACTTTCTGAGGCACAAAAGTTCATCTCGCCTTCCCACCTTTTAAAGCAAACCTCCCCTTGTAGGCTTTCATCGGTAGAAACTTGTTTCTGTTCATGCGCTATCTGTCTAGCTTCCTTGATTATGTTATGTTGCATGTCTTGACCATTGAACAGTTTGATTTGAGCCTTCACGATTAGCAGGCATCTCCACTTCGTAGTTGTTTCCATAGCCCCACTCCCCATGAGGATTTGCTGTGCCAGGTGACAATCTGCTCCACAAGTAGTTAAGGCCTATAACGGAGCTCGGAATTTCTTTCCTGAGTCCTGATGGACGTAAGTTGGAGGCGTCCATGTGTCTGGGTCCAATTTTACAACTTCTTTTGTGTGTGTGTGCAAAAGTCATTAAATGAATGCCATGGTTGTTAAATGGGCACGGTGGTCATTCAGTGAAACGTCATGGTCGTTAAGCAATTTGAGGTATTCCTTTGGACATTTTTTTTATCCAAAAAGGCTGAAAATTGGCAAAAAATATTGTAATTCGCGGTCATGTGACCACAGAACATTGCAACGGGCTGTAAATATGAGCCGAGGTGGCGCAGCAGTTAGAGTGCAGTACTGCAGGCCACTTTAGCTGACTGTGTTCAGCAGGTCAGCGGTTCAAATCTCACCGGCTCAAGGTTGACTCAACCTTCCATCCTTCCGGGGTAGGTAAAATGAGAACCCAGATTATTGGGGGCAATGTAAATATATATATACATTGCTTACTGGTGTACACCGCTTAGAGAGTGCTTGCACTTAAAGCGGTATATAAGTCTCATAAATAAATAAATAAATAAAGGTGAGCTGGTTGCCAAGCACCCAAAATGTGGTCATACAACCATGGCAGTAGTGGGATTCAAATACCTGAAAACTGGTTCTATTATGTGATGCAGGCCTGGGCCTCCAATGCCTAGAATGGACTTCCGGAAGTGGCATCCACGCACTTCCGGTGGGCTGTTCTTGGCATGGGAGGCCTCCTCCAGGCATCCGATGCCTAGAACAGACTTCCAGAAGTGGTATCCATGCACTTCTGGTGGGCCATTCTTGGCCTGGGAGGCATCCAAGGCCTGGACTGGACTTCCAGAAGCCAGTTGGTTCTTCGAATCAGGTAAATTTAGCTACCAGTTCTCCTGAACCGGTGCAAACTAGCTGAATCCCACCACTGGAGTGTGGGTGTTTTTAGAACCCCAGAACTGGGTTGTAAATGGCTTTTGCTGGGTCCACTGTAACTTTGAATCATCGCTAAACAAGTAGTTGTTCCGTTAGGACTACCTGTACAACAAGTTCGTATTTTGAATTGTTTGTTTAGGAGAATTAGGCAGCCGGTTTCATATTTCATCTTGGTTGATGCATTAATTGATAAGCCCTAACGTTAAACCAAGAAATCTGAGGCCAATTTTGATTTAAGTGAGGTTGTCTGCAGTAGCTATTACTATCTGGGGATTAATTTAAAGTACACTTATTTTGTTACTTATTATTACTTAAAAAAAGGACTCTGAGACTTAATAAGAAGGTGACTTTTCTCTTTTTAAAGTATGATATTAAAAAAAAACCTTCAATATTTGGGCCTATTTGAAAAAGTTTTAATATTAGAGAGCCTATCTCAGGTTAATATAGTCGTTAACTGATATGAAATGCAGGAAAACTCTGCCCGTAGATCTGTCCTAAATCACAAAGCAGGAGGTTGAACTAGAAGATCTCCCAGGTTCTCTCCAGCTCTGTTATTCTGTGAAATATATTTCTGATGGAATGTATTCCAGTATTATTGGCTGGCTCGTGATCTGTTGATAACCTGTAAACAGAGGCCTTTGGCTCAGTGCAAATAAAACAAAAGCATCAGATGATAATTGTATGTGTTTTGCACTAATAGGTTGGGTTTTTTTTTTTTTAAACCTGAGCTACAATACATAGCTCACAACCATGAAAGTCTTCCCTCGCCTTCCAGTTTTTCTTAAGATCAACACGGTAGCTTCTCCTTCTCACCATCTCATGTTCTGACTGTTCTACCTTTTATGATCCACAGCTCTTGGATCTGATGACCCTTATTCTTTCTCATGGTTTTTACTGACTTGGGCGCATCTCCATCTGCCACGGTTTCTGTTCCATGCCCTCTTTTATTTCCTTCTACCACGTTCAGCTGGGCTTTCGTGACCCAAAACTCCTTGTCAACCAACCCAAAGGAGACCGAGCCATCATGTCTCCTGCCACGTCATCCGCCTCGCCACCACCCAGTCATTAACTTCCTGCTCTTCCTGTGCCAGACTGTCCCAGCTCCTTGTGTTTGCTGTAGAGTTAATGTTTACTCCCTTCTCTGCTTCTCCAAGGGCTGTTTCCTTCTACTTTGGGCAGGGAGAAAGATAAAAGACTTTCTGATCTTTTGAAGGTTTCCCCCATCCGTCCATCGATCCATCCATCCACCCATCATCCCTCAAAGAGGAGAAATCAATCAAATCAGCACTGAAAAGGCTCCACTGTTTTCTCAAAGTGTTCCATCTAGCATGTAGAGTTATTCTGCTTTCACCCGTGGTAGCTCAAAGTTGTTTTTAGCCACTGATGTCCTAAATAAACCATGAAGTTGACTCTACCCCTCAAACTGCAAGAGCAAATAGCCTTTAAAAAAAAATATTGATTTTTAAATGTGTTTTGCTTGAAATTTGGTGCCCTGGGCTACCTAGTGGTTCATTTACAGGAATAGGCCAACCCCTGACCAGTTGCTTTTTAACAGAAGTGGCGCAGTCATAGCAATAGCATTTAGGCTTATGTACTGCCCCGTAGTGCTTTACAGCATCTCTGGGTGGTTTGTAATGTAGAAAAACTATTTGCATAGTGCCCCCAAGAATCTGAGTCCTCATTTTACTGACCTATGAAGAATGGAAGGCTGAGCCAACCTGGAGCCCGTCAGGATCAAACTCCAGTCTATGAGCAGAGACGTAGGCCAGCATGTCCAGTTTAAATCTCATAAAGTTGATGATACAAGGCTGTGCATTGTTCTGAGATCCTTTAGAGCAGAGATCCACAACCTTTTGGACACCAGGGACCGGTTCCCTGGAGAAACGTTTTGCCAAGGACTGGAGAGTGCGTGGCTTTGTGTGCTGCCTGCATCCCACGGATGGGGCTTTCCTTGTTTGTGCAAACTGGTTCCTGGCATGCTGTGGCCCGGTATCGGTCCATGGACCGGGGGTTGGAGACTCCTGCTTTAGAGAGACCATAGAAGCATGTAATGTTGAAGCAGAGAAATACAGATGGGCCAGCCATTTGTTTAGCGACCGTTCGAAGTTACAATGGCACTGAAAAAAGGTGACTTATGACCAGTTCTCATACTCATAGCAATAGCACTTAGACTTACATACCGTTTCACAGTGCTTTACAGCCCTCTCTAAGGGGTTTACAGAGTCAGCACATTACCCCCCAACAATCTGGGTCCTCATTTTACTGACCTCAGAAAGATAGAAGACTGAGTCAACCTTGAGCCGGTCAAGATCCAACTGCTGGCAGTGGGCAGAGTCAATCTGCAATACTGCATTCTAACCACTGTATCACCATGGGAGGGAGGGAAGGAAAGAAGGAAGGAAGGAAGGATGGATGGATAGCAATAGCACTTAGGCTTATATACCACTTTATAGTGCTTTACAGCCTTCTCTAAGTGGTTTACAGAGTCAGCATATTTGCCCCCCACCAATCTGGGTCCGCTCAAAGATCACCTCAGATGGGGACTGCAGCCAAGAAATTAAAAGACGCTTGCTTCTGGGGAGGAAAGCTATGGCAAATCTAGACAGCATTCTAAAAAGCAGAGACATCACCCTGCCAACAAAAGTGCGTATAGTCCAGGCCATGGTTTTCCCAGTTGCAATGTATGGCTGTGAAAGCTGGACCATAAGAAAGGCTGAGCGCAAAAGAATGGAGGCCTTTGAACTCTGGTGCTGGAGAAGACTCCTGCGAGTCCCTTGGACTGCAAGGCGTTCAAACCGGTCAGTCCTAGAAGAGATCAACCCCGACTGCTCTTTAGAAGGCCAGATCCTGAAGTTGAAACTCAAATACTTTGGCAACCTAATGAGAAGGAAGGACTCACTGGAGAAGGGCCTAATGCTGGGAAAGATTGAGGGCAATAGAAGAAGGGGACGACAGAGAATGAGATGGCTGGATGGAGTCACTGAAGCAGTAGGTGTGAACTTAAATGGACTCCAGAAGATGGTAGAGGACAGGAAGGCCTGGAGGACCGTTGTCCATGGGGTCGCGATGGGTCGGACACGACTTCGCAGTTAACAACAACAACAAAAATCTGGGTCCCCATTTTACTGACCTGGGAAGGATGGAAGGCTGAGTCAACCCTGAGCTCTGTCAGGATCGAACTGCCGAACTGCTGGCAGTCAGCAGAAGTAGCCTGCAATACTGCATTCTAACCACTGGGCCACCACGGCTCTTATGATCGTCGCAGCAGTCAGTTGATCAAAACTAGGGTGCTTCGTGGAAGACATGTAATTTACAAGAATTGCAGCATCCTGAGCTTGTCCTTTGCAATCTTCCTAGGCAGCTTCTCACAAGCAAAGTCAATGGGGGAAGCCAGTTTCGCTTCACGACCACGTATTCACCTGAGGGCAATGATTCGCTTAGTGACTGTAGCAATGGGGCATGACTCGCTTAACAGCTGCCTTGCTTAGCGATGGAAATTTGGGACTCAGTTGTGGCCATACGTCAAGGACTACCTGTGGTAACTTGGTAAAGAAGCACCCTCTGAGTTGTACGATTCCAGAACGGGTGTGAGGGAGCACCGTTGCAATGAACAAATCAGATGGATTTAGATTATTTTGCCTTCTTACTTTGCCTCCATAGATAGTCCTTGACTTAACTACAGTTCGTTTAATGACTGGCCGAAGTTACAGCAGCACTGAAAAAAGTGACTTGTGACCGTTTTTCACCCTCATGACCGTTGCAGCATGCCCCTGGTCACATGGTTTTCATTCGGACGCTTGATAACTTGTCTCATATTTATGACGCTCGCAGTATCCCCGGGGTCACGCAATCCCCTTTTGTGACCTTTTGGTAAACCAAGTCAATGGGGAAGCCGGGTTCGCTTAACCACGGTGTTAACTAATTTCACAACCGCAGTGATCCACTTCGCAAAGGTGGCAAGAAAGGTCGTAAAATGGGGCAAAAGTCACGTAACAAATTTCTCATTGAGAAACATAAATTTGGGCTCAATTGTGGTCGTATGTCAAGGACTACCTGTATGCCTTTCTTTGCACCTAGTAGCTTTTTTCAGACACTCCCATCTGTGCCCATGGCTGGTCTGAGTTCTGGAAGGTTAAACCTGCCACCATCATCCCCTGCTGCATTGGGGTTTCAAACCATCTTCACCCTTACATAATGTATACCATCCAGGCCAAGAGCATTTATTCATAAGTCATCTGTCCAACCTAGACTGCCAGAGTGCCAAAATAGAAGCTTTAGTGCAGAAGTCTCCAACCTTTTGGGCACCAGGGACTGGTTCCATGGAGAGAAGTTTTTCCGTGGATCAGAGAGTGCGTGGTTTGGTGTGCTGTCTGCATCCTGCGAATGGGGCTTTGCTTGTTTGTGCGGACCGGTTGCTGGCATGCCACAGCCCGGTACTAGTCCACGGATGGGGTGTCTGTTGGGGATCCTGCTCTAATGGAGACTTTGCTGATTTCCTGGCTGTGACAAATGAAGCAAAAGATTATGCCTGTAATCTAGACCTACATTTATAATATTTTAGATTTTGCAATTTTATCTATTGAGTGTCTGTCGAAATGTGATGCAAATGTGCCATATGGTAAATAAATAATGTCGTCTTCCAGTAATGGTCTTTTTGCATTCCACGAGAGTTTCCTGGAGTTATTGCGTTGTTTCAAGCCAAAGAGAGGCTAACAGTTATTGAAGATCCCTGGAAAAACGTCAGAATGGCTTCAGAGAGATTTATTCTTTGCTCACATGGATGAGACTCACTTCCGTTTGTGGTTTTCAGCGACACTTTTACTATAAACTGGCATCACGCTTTCAGATCCCACGCTTACTTACCCCTCTTAGTGAGACTTTCAAGTTCAAACTCAGCTGAACAGGGTAAGTTTGAAAAGGCTGAGATTGTGGTCGTTGAAGACGGGAGCAATAATGAAGGAAGTTCTGCACAGATTTACCTAGAAGGTGGAGGGTGGAGTTGAGCGAAAGGAAATTTTGTTTCTTCTTGAACCCCTCAACGCTGCTGTTCTCGAAGGCCCGTGTGAAGTGAGCACATTCAGTCAAAACAGTCACCAGGGAGGGAGGATTGGGGATTTCATGCTGGAGATTGGCTCTCTCTGTTGTCGTCTTCTCTCCACCCTCCAACACAAACTCGGCCCAGCAACTTTGCATTACAGGAAACATCTGCTGGATGGGAGGGCTGAGGCTGGGTTACTCCAGGGCATTGGCCGACAGAATCACCCAGAGGCTGAAATGTAAAGCATGTGTGAAGCATTTTGTTGTCTTTTCCCCCACCCGCTTCTTCTACAAGAAGAAGTAGGGGGAAAAAAAACAAACAAAACATAAGCCGAGAGCAAAGCTGTCTTTTCAGAGAAGAGAGGAAGCAAGGAAGGTGTGCTTATCCTGGACGGAGAAGGAAGAATTAAAACCAGAAGGGAAGTTTTGCAGCTCCCAGGATAAGACCCAGACTTGAGAAGATTTTGCAAGACTGACTTTTGGAATAACCCTCTGAAGTGCAGTTGGCTTGTGACGGACTTTGTCAGTGCTTTCTCGCCACGGTTTAGAATTGCGAAGATTTGACACGGGCAATATTTGGAATTAGAAGTATGAGCCTGTACGAGCGGACGGCTTGATCCCGGACACCACTTTTCAGAGAGCAGAAATATGGGAGTTTCTCCAGCTTGAGGCACCTTTGTGAAGTGCAGTGAAACAAGGGAGCTGGGCATCTAATCTCCTGTGACTGGACTAGATGGGAATGAACTTGATCTTCCTGGAGAGGTGGACTGTCTTTCCCTCCTACGCCTTTGAGTCTCCAGACCCACATATGAGTGGGTGGGGAAAGTTAGTCTAGTGCCAACTACTGCAAGTGCCGACTGTGGTTTCTTATTTTGCTGGCAATTGTGGAAGTAAAGGGCCTTCGTCCTGCGTTGCCAGTAAAGACTTAAGAACGGAAAACGCTGCGTTATGGATGTCCTGTCAGAATGTGGGATTCTTTGGAACTTTCTCTTAGAATTGGAGGACCAATGTCTGCTGTGTCACTTGGAATGGCTGCACGATTTTCCTGAAGGTCATTGGGATTCAGCTTGGGAAGAAATTCCAGCTGTGAGTGACGTCCTGTCAAAAGGAGGCCTCCTAAAAGATGCTCTTCTCCCTCTTGCTTAGGGGCAGCTTGTGGTTGATACGCAGAAGGTTTTGCCACTTCAATCCTTTGCTGTCGCTTCGTGTTTTATTCTTGGTTAATGTGAAGGAGAAATGAGAATGAGGCAACTCTCAAAACAAGATTTTCTTTAATAAAAATGTTCAATAATTGTTGGGTGCAGATGGTGCCTTCTTCACTATTAAATGCTAAGGCATCAATAATTGGGATGGAATGGATGGTTTTTCTGCCTGACTTATATAGTTACTGTCTGTCTGTCTGTCTGTCTATCTATCTGATATGCTTTTTCTTGCTTCGAATCTCTCTTTCTCCTCTCTCTCTCTCTCTCTCTCTCCCTCTCCCTTCCCCTCTCTTTCCCTCTCTCTTCCTCTCTTGTCCTCCCTCTCCCTCTCCCTCTTTCCCTCCCTCTTCCTCTCTTGTCCTCCCTCTCCCTCTCTTTCCCTCCCTCTCCCTCTCTTTCCCTCCCTCTCCCTGTCTTTCCCTCCCTCTTCCTCTCTTGTCCTCCCTCTCCCTCTTTCCCTCCCTCTTCCTCTCTTGTCCTCCCTCTCCCTCTCCCTCTCTTTTCCTCCCTCTCTCTCTCCTTCACCCTCCCTCCCTCCCTCCCTCCCTCCCTCCCTCCCAGGAATTGAGCGCATCTTAGGGGAGACTTTGTAGACAGAGAATAGAGAATTTCTCTCAGTTTGTTACTCTAATCTTTCCTTCTAACAAGCCTTCCTTCTGCTCTTGCCAGGTGTTGAGTCCAACCTACAAACAACGGAATGAAGACTTCAGGAAACTTTTCAAGCAGCTTCCCGAAACAGAGCGCCTCATTGTTGGTAAGTTAATCCTCCCTTCTTTCCAGGCCTTTGCGGCAAAGGTTCTCCAGGATCTCCAAAGCCAGCCCCCTCGGTTGAGGCTGGAGAAAGGATCGTTCTTTGCCCGGAAAGAAAATTTCTCCATCTCAGCCGATCTTAAAGGTATTAAAGGTGTAGTGAAGGTATTAATCAGTCTTTTTCGATTCAGCTCATGAGCGCTTCAGAACTGAAGAAGCCTCATGAATGAGAAGCGAAACGTTTTCAAGGGAAAAAAAAGGAAAAACAAGAAAGTCCGGTTGCTTTTTGAAAAGCACCTTTGGGATAACCATGACTTGGATCAGTGTTTCCCAAACTTGACAATTTTAAGGCATGAGGACTTCAACTCTCAGAATTCCACAGCCAGCGTTGCTGGCTGTAGAATTCTGGGAGTTGAAGTCCTCATGCCTTAAAATTGTCACGTTTGGGAAACACTGACTTGGATGATTGAGAATCTCTATATCCAGGTCTGGAGATTTTGAACCGAGCTTTTTTGAAAACGAAACTTTTAATTCCTTTGACTGGAAAAAGGACAGTGCTGTATCTACACTTATTGCTGACTAGAAACCCCTTATAGACTTTTTCCTGAAACAGAAAAAAAAGGAACGTGATTAATACAATATTTAAAAAAATCCAGAAAATAACCATTTGGATATTAAAGGAAAACTTGGCCTCCGAAGCGTTAAAGTCAGAGATCTGAGCCTCATGCTCTGTAACAATTATTATTATCCTTATCGCCAATTAGCTCAAAGTCTAAATCAATATTACACTTCTGTGATTTTTTTGAAAGGCAAGTTTACTGGCTTTGTTATTCAAGCAGGAACTTTGCTTCCAGTCGCAGGGAAAAGAAAGTTGTACGTAAGCCAGCCTGATGACGGTTAAGGATAACTAGTGAACAAATTGTAGTGGTGAAATAAGCCATATTCCTTTTCCAAGTGAACAGAAGTAGTGTTTCTTTTTATCTATGACAACGTGAAGGGTCAGACTTGATGAGACTCCGTTTAATCAGTTAACAATTAACTGAATTAGCAAAGAGTTTATTCTTTACTGATGTAATATCTTGGCTGCCAAAATCTACACCATGATTGGAATATCAGCAAAGAGTGAGTTTTCTGTACCCCTTTACAGCAGTGGTTCTCAACCTTTTTAATGCCGCGACCCCCCACCAGTCGTAAGTCGAAGACTACTCAACTGGTGCAGCACCGTTTGCAGAACGGGACTTTTGGCGGGCTCAGCAGGGCAGAGACAGCCTGGACAATTCCTATTGGCTTTTGAAAGCCAATAGAATTAGACTCTATTCAAGAGAGTCTATTCTATTGGCTTTCAAAAGCCAATAGAATAAAAGGGAGTAGCACAGCTAAGGAAAAGGGGAAAATATGGCGGACTGCGTTGTTTGGCGACCCCCGTGAAATAGTCGTTCGACCCCAAATGGGGTCATGACCCACAGGTTGAGAACCACTGCTTTACAGTGTCCTGGGGTCACCTGATTCCCCCTTTTGTGACCGTCTTATAAGCAAAGTCAATGGGGAAGCCAGATTCACTTAACAACCTTCTTACAGCGCAGTGAGCCACTTAACAACGTTAGCAAGCAAGGTTGTAAAGACGGGGCAAAATTCACGTAATTTTCACTTAGCGACCTAAATTTTTGGCTGAATTGTGATCGTCAGTTGAGGACTACCTGTGTTGTATTTATTATTTTCCCAGTGTAATCTCTAGTCTGTCCATTATCTTTATTAACCGATATTATCTTTTGAAGGATTCTTAAATTAATTGCCGCTGCCAAAATATCACCCCTTTCCCCCCTTCCTTTTGATTTATCTTCCTTGTCCACCCCGAATTTGTTTTTCTGCTCTCGTTGTTTAGACTGCAAACAAGCCAACAGGCCCCTGTTTTCTTTCTACCACGTACAGCAGCACCCAGTTATTTTTAGCTTCCATATAAATATTTATATCATTTTTTGCCACATCACGTCACTCCCTTTGGCTTTTCCTCCAGATTACTCCTGTGCACTTCAAAGAGATATTCTCTTGCAAGGTCGACTCTACCTCTCTGAAAACTGGATATGTTTCTACAGCAACATCTTCCGCTGGGAAACCTTGGTGAGTTGTCTTCTCTACCCCACCCCACCCTACCCCATGACTTTCCCTGCCATGGATCGACCCTGAAAGCTTGCATTACTCACCTTCTCCTTTTGCCCCCCCTCCTAATGATGGTTCTGACCTTTTATCTGTTGGTACAGCTGACCGTCCGTTTGAAGGACATCTGCACCATGACCAAGGAAAAAACTGCACGGCTCATTCCTAACGCTATCCAAGTTTGCACAGACGCTGAAAAGGTATGTTCTACTGTCTTCCCCAGTGGACATTGGCAAAAGCAGAAGGCTTTTTCTGAAGGACAAATCCGGGAGTTGGGGGAACAGGGAATCTTGGACAGGACTGAAGCTGCGTTCAGTTCTTATAGTCAAGTGGGTCAACCATGGCTCAAAAATCAGTTTGTCAAGAAACATGCATGGTTTTTTTTTTTAACAGCTGAAAATGCCTTAGAGCTTCGATAGTAGGACCTTCTGAGCCTCCTTGGTCCCATTGCTTCCACCAGTTAAGCAAGTTTTTCCAAAGGTTAGGGACAAGGCAAAACCTTGCAAAACTTGTTTGCTGGTGGCAAAATCAGGTACCTTCTGGGCATGGCCAGCAAAGCGTGTCCCCACCCTGAAGAGTTCCTGCTTATCTTTTATTCACAGAGCCTTTACATCAACTAGATCAGTGCCCCCCTCCCGCAACCTTTTGGGCACCAGGAACCAGTTCTGTGGAAAGAGGTTTTTCCATGGACTGGAGGGGTGTGTGGTTTTAGGTGTGCTGCCTGTTGCTTGTTTGCACGGACCGGTTTCTGGCATGACACAGCCCGGTGCCAGTCCGCAGACCGGGGTTGGGGACCCCTGACCTGGATTCCTCTTTGAGAGAAAGAAGCAGGCTGCAAGTCTGTGTAGTTTTGTTTCTGCGCAGACTGTGTGGGAAGGTGTCTGCTACATTGGTCCAACTCCCGTCTATTGATGGAAGATTTGTCTGTCTTCCACATGTTGATCCCATCTTGCTTTGGAAACTTAAGAGTATTGAGCTTGTTTCTTTGGTTGGGAAATCTCCTTACTGAATATCTGAATAACCACGGCCGGGGGAAGGTGAATAGTACCCGGCTGCCAGTTGCGCTGTATGCGAGCGTGACATTACGCTTGCTGGAAAAGTGGTTCAACTTTAAACCACTTTGAAGCAAGGCTTCTGTTTTGTTTTTTTTCACCCAGCTGCCAGAAAATGAATTAAAGCAGATCATGTAATAAAGGGGCCCAGTATAAATAAATCACTGATTGCTTTGCTACGGTACAGTTTTCAACTTCCAATACAGTTTTCGGCCTCTGTATCGTGAGCTCTGGGCCTCTTTCTCTTTGCTACTGTATTTTAATGCAATCATTTAACGCAGCGGTTCTCAACCTGTGGGTCGGGACCCCATTTGGGGTCGAACGACCATTTCACGGGGGTCGCCAAACCATGCTGTCCGCCATTTTTTCCCCTTTTCCCTAGCTGTCCTACTCCCTCTTATTGGTGGCCACACCCACTTGGGGGTCACCACAACATGGGGAACTGCATTATGGGGTCACGGCATTAGAAAGGTTGAGAATCACTGATTTAACGCAACCTGTATTCCTGATTTGTCTCACACACCCAAATTTCTGCTTTTCCCAGCACTTTTTCACTTCCTTTGGTGCCCGGGATAGGACGTATATGATGATGTTTCGCCTCTGGCAGAACGCCCTCCTTGAAAAGGTAGGAAGTATTGACTTATCTTATTGATCAAATTTGTGGCCCATCGCGTGGTTCAGGCAACCATCCCCATCCTCCTTTCTTCTTGCTCCTTCCAAGTGATCTGATAACTCATAAAATTGCTGACAATTTCATCCCAGTAGCTGCTCGGTTTGGGTTCCAAGAATGCATTTTCTCTCCCCCTTTCCCTACCCCTTTGACGGTGGTGATGTATTTAACCTTTTTCACATGCTAATTTTCGAGGAGGGTATCCCCCTTTGCAATAATGGGAGCCTTGTAGTCGGTCTAATGCCTTCCAAGGATGAATCAACAGACACACACAAACCCACAACACAGCTGCGGTTCAAATTGTTTTTGTTCCTGGATAATTATCATATGCATTTAAAAACAAAAGATGGGAGGAGGAGGAGGAGCTGAAACTGTAGATCCATTGTCGGTAGCTTCTTGTGGGAGAGTGGGTTGAGGTTTCCAAAGTTGTGTTGTCATAACTGTGAGCACCGTTTTTCTTCTTCTTTGCAAGCATGCAAATTCACATTTGGGGGGCCATGTTTCTAAAACTCTTTTGAGTGAAGTATTAGAGATGCTGTCTATTGGCTGCTTCATTGCTTTCCATGGGAGATACTGATTCATTGCCTCTTTCCTCTCCAGCCCTTGTGTCCGAAGGAGCTCTGGCATTTTGTACATCAGTGTTACGGCAATGAACTGGGGTTGACGAGCGATGATGAAGACTATGTTCCTCCTGATGAAGATTTCAACACCATGGGGTAAGTTGCTTTACCTAAAGCAAACTATGAAAACAAGACTGGAAAAAGCTAATAATTAATGCTTACAAACCAGGGATATCCTCAATATTCTAGTGCAGTGTTACTCAACCTTGGTAACTTGAAGCTGAGCGGACTTCGACTCCCAGAATTCCCCAGCCAGAATTCTGGGAGTTGAAGTCCGCTTAGCTTACAGTTACAAAGATGAGAAATATGGTTACCATTAATTTCACGCTACCGTTAATTTTGGCAGAGATTTTTACCTCATAAAAGACACACAGGATTGCCCTCTTCTCCAGTCTGAAATGTTAGGAAGCCTGGATGTTTCTTTGAAAGCTCTAAAAAGCCTTGAGAACTTCAGAAGACCTTATTGTTGTCTCCCATCCGCTAAGATATTTAGCCCATGGGAGAAGTGGGAAAATATGTAAATGTTCTGGAATGGAATTTGGCTAGAAAATAGGTGTGTCAAAGTAAAAGAAAAGATGATAATTGAAGCTTCTCTGAACTCCCTCTTTGGTGATCTCAGTGGCACTGTGAGGTGAACATTTTTATTCCACAAGGTTTGCTTTTCAATGCTTAATAAAAAGACTAACCATCGGATTGATCCAATTCATCAGGATTTTGCTTATTTTTTTAGTTACTGTGAGGAGATCCCAGTGGAAGAAAATGAAGTCAATGACAGCTCCTCCAAAAGTAGCTCAGAGGTCAAAGCTGAAGTGAGCCCTCAGCTTCTCAAGAAGTCAGTTACCAACAGTAGCATGTTGACCCCTTCATCAAACAATGAAGCTCCAATTCCGGTAGGTATTTCTTCCCTTCAGTTTTTTAAATCTCTAATTTGCACCTGGAAGCGAAGTGCCCTCTATTCATGGAGTCTATCTGTTATGGTTTTTAATTTTGGGTTTTAATTTCTAAATGCTCACATCAAAGGAAGCTGGGTCACAGTTTTAGCACTGGAGAAAGGACTACTATTAACAAGTTCTTCTTCTTCTTCTTCTTCTTCTTCTTCTTCTTCTTCTTCTTCTTCCTTCTCCTTCTCCTCCTCCTCCTCCTCCTCCTCCTCCTCCTCCTTCTTCTTCTTCTTCCTCCTCCTCCTCCTCCTCTCATATCCAGCTTTCCCAAGGTAACAGTGATTGATGTTCTTCTTCATGTCCTTCTAGTACGAAGGAATAGTTCCTGAAGAAGAAGAGATTCTGGACACACCAGCCGAGAAGGAGATGACAATTGCAAATCTCATTGGAGACAAGATTGACATCATTGCCCCTGTGAATTCTCCTTCTCTGGATTTCAATGACAATGAGGACATTCCAACTGAACTCAGTGATTCCTCTGAGACTCATGATGAAGGTGCTTGGCTGGCATCCACAGGTGTCATGGTGGGGTTAGGGTTTATTGTCCTATTGTGTCTTACCTATGTTTGATCCATAGCAGTTAACTTGGCTAAGTTAATGAGTTCCTTCTCACTTCACATTTTAATTTTTCTGAGAAACATGAAATCTTTTGTATTAATATTTCTGTGTTGGATTACTTAGGGAATCTGTATTAGGTTAATGGTTACCAGGCTCCATGAATATTCTCGTGGTAAATTCCATAATAAGAATTAAGCTAGAGAAAAGTTTGATATTATTGAAGAAGGTAGATTTTTGACTTGTGAAGGAGCATCTCAAATGGTAGTGATCATAATGGTGGGTCATGTTGTCCTGAAAACCTCTGAAGCTGGAGGTTTTTAAGAAGAGACTGGACAGCCGCTTGTCTGAAAATGGTATAGAGTCTCCTGCTTGAGCAGGGGGCTGGACTAGAAGACCTCCAAGATCCCTTCCAGCTCTATTCTGACTGAAGCTTTTGCATTTATGGTTCACTTTTTGAATATAGTTGGACTTAGCTGTTTGGACCTAGATGTCAACCTCCAGCTCAAGTATCTAAATAAAAGTCCAAGATTATTTTCATTTCTGAAAAGCTTACTTTTTATTGAATACATGGCCTGGTAAAAGCGAGAAAAATTAACTCTGAAGTCCCAAGGCATCAGACCATAGTATATAACAATGACTTTCTCAGCCAAACCCCTCACCCCCCAGGTGTCCACATAACTCATGTAAACAAGTTCTCTTTGTTATGAGACCCGTCTGCTATCTGCTTCACACCTGCTAGAACAGTGGTTCTCAACCTGTGGGTCGGGACCCCATTTGGGGTCGAATGACCATTTCACGGGGGTCGCCAAACAATGCAGTCCGCCATTTTTTCCCCCCTCTTTTCCTTAGCTGTGCTACTCCCTTTTATTCTATTGGCTTTTGAAAGCCAACAGAATAGACTCTCTTGAATAGAGTCTAATTCTATTGGCTTTCCAAAGCCAATAGGAATTGTCCAGGCTGTCTCTACCCTGCTGAGCCCACCAAAAGTCCCATTCTGCAAATGGTGCTGCACCAGTTGAGTAGTCCTCGACTTACGACCGGTTGAGTAGTCCTCGACTTACGACCGGTTGGGGGTCGCGGCATTAAAAAGGTTGAGAACCACTGTGCTAGAATGTCCTTGAAAGGTTTCCATACTGCCAACTCTCAGCAAGAGAGAGTAGAACTGGAGAGTTTTCATTTCTCTAACTAACCCGTTTGAAAGCAACACCTCCCCCCCCCCTTAAATGGCAAGATGAAAACAGAGAGGCACGTAGCTGCCCAATTTTCACTCTTGACACTAGACCCCTTTCCACTATTGGAGCATCAGTGTTCCATTTTTATAGGCAACTAAAATCCTCTGCTTACTCCTTTGCCAAGATAGATCTCCTAGGAATCAGTCGTGGTAGCTCTCCACTTTTTTTCTTCAGGGGAGGTCCAGGCCTTTTATGAAGATCTGAATGGGCGACAGTATATGAATGAAGTCTTCAACTTTAGCGTGGATAAGCTCTATGATCTGCTGTTCACAAACTCTCAGTTTCTAAGGGATTTCATGGAGCAACGGCGGTTTTCTGGTAAGTAGTCATCAGCAGATACAGCTAATTCTTTTTTTTTTTAATTGAAAAAGTTTTATTGACAATTAACAAAAAATAAACCCACTAGCCCACCCAACCCCACCCCCCTAACTCCCCCAATTCCCAGAGCCGAATACAGGGTTATTACAAACATATTAAACAATATCTAATTAAATTTAACAAATTATACAATAACTAAATTCATACTTAACCCTTAACCCCCTTTAAACCTTAATATCATGATATTATAAACAAATCTATTTTAAAACAATAATTATAAAAAAACCATAATAACAATAAATAAAAAACAAAATAATTTCCATTATAAACTACTATTAATAATAATTATTATTTAAAATTTAATCATAAAATAAATGGAACTTTTTAGTTCCATATTTAATCTGAATATAATCTATCCATCTTCTCCATACCATAATATATCTTTCTTGTGAATGATCCTTTAAATAAGCAGAAATTTTAACCATTTCTGCTAAGTTAGAAACCTTAAGAGTCCATTCTTCTATAGTAGGCAATGAATCTTTCTTCCAATATTGGCCTATCAATAGCAGGTGCAGCTAGTTCTTGAGTGACAGCCATCCTTCTACTAGCTGTGCAAAGTTACGATAGCACTGGAAGAAGTGACTTACTGACCGTTTTTCACACTTAAGACCATTGAAGCCTCCCCCCATGGTCAAAATTCAGAGACTTGGCAACTGGCTCATATTTATGACGGTTGCAGTTTCCCAGATTTCCTGTGATCCCCTTTTGTGACCTTCTAAGGTCAATGGGGAAGCCAGATCACTTAACAACAGCATTACTAACTTCAGAACTGCAGTGAATTCAACAGTTGCAGCAAGAAAGGTCGTAAAATGGAGCAAAACTCACTTAGCAAATAAACTTTGGGCTCAGTTGTGGTCGTAAGTTTGAGGACTGCCTGTATATTGTAAACAACCTTGTCTTTCAGCTGGCTTCATCTCACCCATGTTGGATTTCAAAGCCCTTTTAGATAGAAATAAGGCACCCTATGTTTTTAACCTTATCTGCAAAGCTTTTATTGTTCTGTGAATGGATCAGGAGTCTCCAACATATGAACCTTTTTAACTTCCAAAGTATAGCAGTTTCAAAGGTTTGGGTTCCAAAATTTAGACTGGGATGTGGGGGGGGGGGAGAAGAATCCTCCTAAAATTATTTTAAAATGTTTAAATTCCTGACCGAAGCAACAGTGAGGTCCCACTTCTTTCTGATCATCCAGTGTTGCCTAGTTCTCTTCTCTGACAATATTAGAAAGCTGCAGTTGTAGAAAATAGCTTTTTTTCACCTGCAAGAATAAATATTTTCCCTGTTTACGTAATTAGCATTGGATTATTTCTTCAAGAAGCTCAGTTTATTGCAAAAGGGATTACTAGATGAGCTTCAGAGACGGAATCAGCTTTCAGTTTATTCTGGTGGATTTCCCAGAGAAATGCAATCCTGTGAGAAAGTTTAAGCAAGTTGCTTAAAATCCTCCTAGGTTTTTTAAGTCCCTGTACACAATCAAAATTTAACTATCTACGGTCTTTTAAAATCCCAACAGGACGTCTTCAGTTTTGACTGAAGCAAATTAAAGTCCTGCAAAACACGCTTAAGGACCATCCCAAAGGTGCTTTTTCAAAAGGCAACTGGACTTCATTTTTCCTTGAAGATGTTTCACTTCTCATCCAAGAAGCTTCTTTAGTTCCACACATCTCTGAAGAAGCTGATTGGTTGAGAAGCGAAACGTCTTCAAGGAAAAAAGCAAGAAAGTCCAGTTGCCTCTTGAAAAAAGCACTTTTGGGACAACCATGACCTGGATGACTGAGACTCTCCACAGACTTAAGGACCACCTTACCATTTATTTTATTAGCTTTCTTTTATGATACCTCAGAACTTTCCAAATTTTCTTATGTTGTTTTGGATGAAATTGAGCAAATCGTGGTAGAAGAGAGAGGGAGAAAGAATCTGCTTTTGAGGGGGAAAAAAATGAAGCATAGATTGGAAGCTTTCTTTAAGACTGTTTTAGTTTTTTGGGAAATCATCACATTTGGAAGGTATTTTTTGACTCTTGTGACTTCTTAACGACATGTTGCTGTGCAATCTCTGGATCTGAAAGAATTCAGAAGAAAGTCATTCTTTACAAGAACAAATCATCTATGGCTCAGCATCGTTTTTTATTTTTTTTTTACAAAAAGGAGGGACCAAGAGTGGTCCTTTGAATAAAATGGGAAACCGAGCCAAGTTAAGGACTCATGCTACACAATAACGTCCTATGTCTGTTGTGTTGGATCAGCCAGCGGAAGTGGAGGTGGGGTCATCGGCAACACTTGATCTTGATTGTGGGAGAATATTTTTTCTTTCCCTTGGGAACTGAAACTTTATCTCCTCCCTTCTATGATGCAACATTCCCCCCCCCCAAAAAATTATCCTTCACTTGTCTTTCTCCTTAGATGTTGTTTTTCATCCATGGAAGAAGGAAGAAACTGGCAATCAAAGCAGAGTTATTCTCTACACCATCACGCTCACCAACCCCCTGGCTCCAAAAACTGCCACCGTTACTGAAACTCAGGTAAGAGGCTCAGTTTTAGCCCTTTGAAGTCTACAAGTTGATGGTCTTCCTGAAATAGGAACACTTGAGCATATAAGCAACTGAGATGATCCAAGGCCTGGAAACTAAAACATACGAAGAACGGCTGCAAGACTTGGGTTTGGCCAGTCTAAAAAAGAGAAGAAATAGGGGAGACATGATAGCAGTGTTCCATATTTGAGGGGCTGCCACAAAGAAGAGGGGGCCAGGTTGTTCACCAAAGCACCAAAGGGAAGGATGAGAAACAATGGTTGGAAACTGATCAAACAGAGAAGCAACCTGGAATTAAGGAGAAACTTCCTGACAGTGAAGACAATCAACCAGTGAAACAGCTTGCCTCCAGAAATCGTGGGCGCTCCATCACTGGAGATTTTTAAGAAGAGGCTAGACAGTCAATTGTCTGAGATGGTATAGGTTCTCCTGCTTGAGGAGGGGGTTGGACTAGAAGACTACCAAGGTTCTGTTCTGTTCTATTCTAGTCTAGTCTAGTCTAGTCTAGTCTAGTCATTGTGTCTTCCTCAGTAGACCAAACTGGGACCATTTATGGTGCTACTTTTCTCCTCTCCCCAGACAATGTACAAAGCAAGCCAAGAAAGTGAGTGCTATGTTATAGATGCTGAGGTGCTAACTCATGACGTTCCCTACCACGATTATTTCTACACAATTAATCGTTACACATTGACGCGTGTTGCCAGGAACAAATGTCGACTCAGGTGAGTTTCCCTTAACAGTAGGCTGTGACATTAACACCTGTTGTTTATGTTTGATGGCTTCCATCTGAAATAACATTGGTTGGTGTCTTTTTCTGTACCTGGAACAATACATTTCCGAAAGTAATTTTTGGTAGCTCCTGAGCCAAAGATCAGGATATTTTTTTTTTTGAATCTCTATAACTCAGCAATCAATTTTTTAAAAAGAAGAGGAAGAAGCTACTTCGGAAAAAGGTTTAGATCAGGAACAACAAACTTGGTGTGAAAATTTTCAGGGAAACAGATTTGAGCCAACTAAACATGAGTAGATACTTGAGGAACTCTTCTTGTTCATGTAAGGTCTTTGAAGATGGTGGCTTGTTTTCTTACTAGCGTCTGGACAGCCAACTGATAAACATGAGTAGATACTTGAAGAACGCTTCTTGTTCACGTAAGGTCTTTGAAGATGGTGGCTTTCTTTTTATTAGCGTCTGGACAGCCAACTGATAAACATGAGTAGATACTTGAAGAACGCTTCTTGTTCACGTAAGGTCTTTGAAGATGGTGGCTTTCTTTTTATTAGCGTCTGGACAGCCAACTGATAAACATGAGTAGATACTTGAGGAACTCTTCTTGTTCACGTAAGGTCTTTGAAGATGGTGGCTTGTTTTTTATTAGCGTCTGGACAGCCAACTGATAAACATGAGTAGATACTTGAGGAACTCTTCTTGTTCATGTAAGGTCTTTGAAGATGGTGGCTTGTTTTTTTACTAGCGTCTGGACAGCCAACTGATAAACATGAGTAGATACTTGAGGAACTCTTCTTATTCATGTAAGGTCTTTGAAGATGGTGGCTTCTTTTTTACTAGCATTTGGGCAGCCAACTGATAGGGAAGCTACAGTGAGCTTAGATAGTCTTTGAGATTTTTTTCATCTCTATAATTCTTCATTTCAGGGTTTCTACAGAGCTACGTTACAGAAAACAGCCATGGGGACTAGTGAAATCCTTCATTGAGAAGAACTTTTGGAGTGGTCTTGATGACTATTTTCGCCACTTAGGTGAGAAGCTGCAGAACCTCTCTAAAGGAATTACCTTCTTTGCCTTTTTGTTTGTAGGGTATGAAGTTGGACTTGTTGGGGTCCGCTGTCAATCTTTAGATCACAGATGTTCAACCTTGGCAACTTTTAAGACTTGTGGACTTCAGCTTCCAGAATTCCCCAGCCAGCCATGGTTGGTCACTCTTGCTCTAGATAAAATCTGGAGATTTCTTAAAAGGTCTAGGTTGATAAATAAGAACTCATATTAAGATTTATCTCTGCATTTTAATGCAGCAGCACTTTTTAAAGGAAATGCATAAGAGCCATCAGAACAAGGAATCACTCAAGGTCCTTGTCAGAACAGATGAATCGCTTCTGCTCTCTTGAAGTATTAATGCTGGTCCTGACCTAGCAAACAGAACAATAGTTTGTTGCCCAGCCTGCAGGTTCTGACTGAACCTGGGATTTGCTTCCTATGGAATATTCCTGGATTACACCGCTGAGATTTGTTAGCAATCTGCCTAACAAAAATCACGCTTTTGTCTAATTTAGGTGGAAAAACAAAGAACTGGTAAACCTTCATTATATTTTAAATTCCTTCCTCCCCAGTCATCCAGACATTAGGTTCTCCCCCATACAGTTGGCTTCACCCATTTGCAAGATGATTCCAAGCAGGCCCTGATTGTTGATGTTTTTTAGAGGATTGTTGTCTCATTTACAAAACAATTGCATCCCCTCTGGCCTAAACTAGAGGTTGAAAAGAGATCACTGTCTTTTGACCAGGCTAAACGATGCCTCTTTCTCCCTTGTTCTTTTTTCCCCACCGGTCTTCTCCCCGGCAGAGAGTGAATTGACCAAGACCGAGAGTTCATATCTAGCAGAACTTCACAGACAGTCACCCAAAGAGAAGGCGAACAAACAATCCTCAGTCCGGCGGAGGAAACGACCCCATACACATTTGAGGGGTCCTCATCTGGAGGAAGTACTGAGCCCTGTTACCACTCCCACAGATGAGGAAGTTGTAGGTCGAATCAAGCGTGTGGCAGGTATGGTGTGACCAGTTCCAAAAGATGAAGCTTGACGGGGTTGACGGGACAGGAAGAGATCCAGCTGTATGGTTTTATCAAGGGTGTGACACACAGGCATCTTCAGCGGTAGTCAATTATATTTCTTGGAGGATTATATATATAACACAAGGTTGGGAACCCCTGAAGCTGTTGTTCTATGGAGATTCTCCATCCTCCAAGTCATGGTTGTCCCAAAGGTTTTTTTCCAAAAGGCAACTGGGCTTTCTTGGGTTTTTTTTCCCTTGAAAACATTTAGCTCTTGAAGAATGGAAGAAGCTTCTTGGATGAGAAGGAAAATGTTTTCAAGACCCCCCCCCCAAGAAAGTCCAGTTGCCTTTTGGAAAAGCACCTTTGGGACTCCAGTTCATTGACCAAGTCTGATCCCTCCCTTGGCTGGTGTGGGAGATCAATTGATTTTCAACCTTAACCACAGACTTCTTGAGAGCACACCTTGTTTAATTTCTGTTGGCTACATTGACAGTTGAAGACACTTTGTTCTGTGGCCTGGTTCCAGGGTGCCTTTGTAACAGGAATCTCCCTGTCCCCGTCCCACTCAAAGAGCATGTGTGAAACATAGCTTGAAGTTGTTCCTGGCACAGCTAGCTTTGAAAAGATAGAATGGGGGAATAACCTCTGATGAAGGTGTCCCTTCAGTCAAGCACATCTGCTCCTTTCCAGGTTCCACTCAAACACGGCATATCCCTGAAGAAAGTCCCAGCAGCTTCCACATGCAGAATGTCTCCAAATTGCTGCTTGTTATTAGTTGTGTGTAAGTAACTCCTTGTCCTTGCCTTGATTCTTTTTTCCTCTTCCTCTGCTATGGATTTATGATGAGTTTCTTTCCTGCTCTTGCTCTGTTTCATTTCACAAGTCAAGGCTACCAAAAAGGCAAGTCTTATCATCATAGTTGTGGATAAGTCAAAATTGATTTAACTCCCTATGGGTACAATTTGATTTTCTTTTCAAACTGCCGCCACCAACAGCGTCACCTGCTGGTACAAAATGTCCCACAAAGCATCATCAGAAAATATGATTGTCTTTATCCATGCTAAACAGCTCTCCAACAGAACCTTAGCTTAACCATCTTAATTTTCATACCACACCTTAATTGTTTTATGACCTAGACATTTTTTATTGCTATCTTGATTGCTTTCGTATTCAGGCTTTTCCTATGCCACTTGAGACTTGAGTTTGGTGGCAGAGGCTGGAATTGGGGGAGAACATATAGAAAAATAGAGGGTCTGCTTAGATTGTAGCAGGAGCGGGCAACTATGACAACTTTATGACCTGTGGACTTCAATTTTCACCATGACTGGCTCAGGAAATACTGGGAATTGAAGGCCCCAGGTAGTAAAATTGCCATAGTTGCCCACTCTTGGGTTGGAGACTATAATAGAGTGTAATTCTGACCACCTTTAGGGGGTTCTGACAACCTTATGGGAAAGTCAGGAAGAAGCTAAGGATTAGCACCTCTTCCTTCTCCATGCCAGAGGCACTGGTGGCTTTCCCACAAATTTTCAAGCTTCTCCATGGCCCGAATCCTTAAAGCTTGCATTCTCCTTGAGAAGTCTCTTGGCCAACCTGGTCAACCTACTCAACCTGATCTTCTAATATTTGTCATACTGATGAGTCTAACGCTGATCTGCCTCTGCTGGTTTCTCAAGGTTGGGTGCTTCCCTACCGCCCTGTCATGCTGTGATTTCCCTGCTTTGTGCGTGTCCTTCAGAACTTCCTTTGTGATGTTCTCCTCTCCTAACCTTTGCTTCCCCCATCTTTTTTCTTTCTTGCTCCCGTTAGGATTTGCTTCAGGTATTGCCTTTTATCACTGACCTTCTTTTCTGCCTCTTTCTCTCTTTGCATCTCAATTGGTAAACTGGCTCTCTTTCACTCTGGCTGCCTGATCTCGGCTTACATTTTCTGGTTTGTCCGTTCTTGGGCTGAAGCTTTTATTATTTATTTTGGCTTTTCCTTTAAAAAAAAAAAAATTACCCTTTGCGTTCTTTTCTGTTCTTCAAACTGAACACAAATGAAGATTGAGCCAAGCCTGTCTCTTGCTATCTATTGTTCCTCCTGCTTCCCTTGATATAACACACACCTTTTTTGCCAGAATCATCTTTTGAGTGATGCACAATGAGAAATATGGACTAGACAAAAAGGACCCACAAACAGACAATCAAACCCTATCATGAACAAAGGATAAAACCTAAGATGAGCAGCTACCATGAGCTGTGCTTTAAAGCAGGTGTGTCCAACCCTTGGCAACGTTAAGACTTGTGGACTTCAACTCCCAGAATTCTTTGCTGGACTGGGGAATACTGGGAGTTGAAGTCCACAAGTCTCAAAGTTGCCAAGGTTGGACATCTCTGGCCTAAAGGCTCTTGATGTTTTTAGCAAGGTGGGTTCACACATACTTTTTTGGGAAAAAGTATTTCACCGGGTGAGAAGTATCATGGAGAAGACCTCTGCCTTGCTCACAGCCCATGTTCCATGCAAGGAGTAGGGAGTTTCCTGATTAGTGGGGTTTGGTTCTGACAAACCTTTGCCTCCAACCTGACAGTGGATGACAGACTCTTCCCGGTCTCAGGATTTGACTTTTTTCTCTAACTGTTCCTGCTTTTCAGCAGTTTCAAAAATTAACCTCTTAAGGACTCACCTTAAGGGCCTTGGAGCAATCTTTCTTAATTGGGGTTCCCCAAGAGATGATGGTGACTAAAAAAAAAAGAATACACTTAAAAAAAACCTTCTATGCACCATGCAGTGCTGACACTACGGAGGTGGAAATTGACCGTTATTACCGGACTTCTGCTGATTAATCATGTAGACGTAGCATAAGAGCTTGCAGATATAATGATTTTAAGGAAGGGATTCCCTAAGAGTTGAAAATGATCTCAAAAGGGTCTTCTAAAGCAGAACCTTAGAAAATGTTAGCTGGAAATTCTGGGAATTGCAGTCCACACCCCTTAAAAGTTGCCAAGTTTGAAAAACACTGTTCTAGAGTAAAAACGTTGAGAAAGACTGCCCTAGAGGTTGGCCATTATTGCACATCCCCGAAGGCCTGCAAACGTTGCTTTGTTCTAATTGGGCCAATGGTGGGAAACAACTCCCCTACCCCCTTCCCACCCCAACATTTGATCACCTCCTACCTAGTAAGACTTCAGGGAACCATTAAAAACAGAACTGGTGCAGGGACTCTTTCCATCACAAATGCCGCCGTCTGCATTTATCGCTTTTTGATCCCTTATTTTATGATTTGAGCCCTGCTTAGGTATTGTGTCTTTGTGATGCAAAATTGCTGACGCTTTATTGTTGAAGCCCCTCCGAGTTTCTTGATCGCAGCCAGTAAAAAAAATGGTGGGGCAGGGAACAAGAATTGCTGCTAAGACTGCTTATATATATATATATATACTCTTTCTCTCTCTCTCTCTCTCTCTCTCTCTCTCTCACTCTCCATTGTTCCCCAGTTTGGTGCTTTTGGTCATCCTGAATATGTTGCTGTTCTACAAGCTGTGGATGTTGGAATACACAACTCAAACCTTGACCGCATGGCAGGGGCTACGTTTACAGGAAAGGTAAGATGCAGACAGAGGATTAGGTACCAATGGTGATCTAGCCCAAGACTTCTTAACTACATTCTTTATACATGGGGACCCTTCCTTCCTTCCTTCCTTCCTTCCTTCCTTCCTTCCTTCCTTCCTTCCTTCCTTCCTTCCTTCCTTCCTTCCTTCCTTCCTTCTCAATAACTCCCGGTGACTTACTATTAAATATATATATATATATATATCTCAAGAATAGCAAAATTGGAAGGGACTGTATTTATTTATTAAATTTGTTTGCCACCCATCTCATCACGATATTGCAATCAGAGCATTAAAAACATTTAAAAACAATAAAAAACACGCAAAATAAATATACATAGCAGCCGAGATACTTGGCCAGTTATCAATAAAGCCAAGAAATGGGGCCCTTGAGATATTCATCACCCCAGTCTTGGGAACATAGCCAGGTTTTTAATGGACTTATGAAAAGCTAACAGGCTTAGGGCCATTCTGATCTCCAAAGGGAGGATGTTCCAGGGGCCACTGAGAAAAGCCCATCTTCTAGTCCCCACCAGTTGACACTCCTTAGCTGATGGGATCTGCAGCATGTCCATTCTTACGTTTAAACCCATTTACTCACTGGAAAGGAAGAAATAATAAATAAAATTTTATCCTGCGCCGAAATGGACAGGTTAACTCTAGAGATTAAAAATAAAACTGAAACAGAGTATTATGAAATTTGGAAAAATATGTAGGATTGGTTAGAGTTAAGGAGGATCGCTGAGATGATTTTCGATTGACTAGTTGATATCATAAGGACTTCTTATTAGTACCTATATTAGGACACAACTGAGAGTTATGTAAATACAACGTTGACAATTGAAAGATGGTTTATCAAAAAATTTACAGATGTTATACGCAGTTTGTTATACTCTGTCCTGTTATAGAATGTATTTTAAGTTTCTGTTTTTCTTTCTGTAACATAAGGTAATACTAATAGCACTGTTGAAGCCAGGGAAGTTGAATCGTGTCCATTTTTGTTTTTAAAATGTACATTTAATATAATTTGTAAAAAAAATATATATAAAAAAAATAAACCCATTTATTCACCAGGGTTTCCTCAAGGAACTCACGTTGGCATGCAAGATACTCTGCCATGTAATGTAATTTTGGCTGTAAGAAAGGCTCCCAGCTGGCTTCAAGCGCTTTTATTTCTCTCTTTGTTTCTTGGTCTCAACAGGTTGCCCCAATCTCAGACTGAGTGGGCCCAGTTGTTAGAGTCCCAGCAGAAATATCATGACACAGAGCTCCAAAAATGGCGAGAGATCATCAAATCATCAGTGGTTCTCTTAGATCAGGTGAGAGCTACCTCCAACCTAGGAGAGAAATCATGGATTGAGGGCAGACTGAAGGCAAGTCAAGCGAAATAGCAAGCCACTTTGGCCTGTGTTTTGATTTCTTCCATTTAGGTAGGAGAAGTGGCAAAACCTGGGGGCAGAGTTAAAAGAGGGATCAGCTTAGAATCCTTACATAGCCACAGGTGAATTAAGTCCAATCTCCCTTGAATTCTCTTCACCCTTATCTAACACCTAGCAGGTGCTAAATTGTTAGTTGAGAAGGTTCCTGTGCATAGGCATGAGTAACAATACATCAGATTAACTAGACATTCATGTGTAGACCTGTTCTTTCATGCCTGACAATTGATGTTCAGTCTTTCTTCTAAGTTGTGCAGGATCCCATCTGTGAGATTATCTTTTGTTTTATACTCACAATAACAATTACTTTAGGTAGCTTGGGTTGAGAGATATTAAAGTAAGGCAAAATCATTAGCAAACTCTACGAGAGGATTAAACCCTGGCCTCTCCAATCAATACCTTGATCTCCTCACCACATATTCAGGTATCCTTATGGAATGGATATTCCAACCCCCCCCCCCATTTCCTACTTCCAGGTCTGGCCCTCTTTTATTCATACATAGCGGAGACATCTGATGCCCCGGAAACCATCTGGGTTCTGCCATAAATCTGCTAGGCTTTGTTGAGTTGCCACACAACTCTTCCACAGTTGTGTTACTTGCAGGCTGATTTTTGAGCGTCAACCTTCCAGCCAACCTGTTTTGTGTTTTCAAGATGGTGTCTTTGCTTTACAGATGAAGGATTCCCTCATCAACCTTCAGAAAGGCATTGGCTCTCGCGAATATCGGTCCGAGTCGGAGGAGAAACGGAAACGGTTCTACTAGCAGGCGGGAACACATGTGGCCAGAGGATTGCGTGCAATATATGTACATAGAGAATGAATATCATCACCGAGAAAGGGCCAGAATGTGATGGAGGAATTGGGCTTTTCCAGCACTGAGGCATTGTGGGAAAATCCACTCCGGCCCTCCTGGATTCATGCATCTTTCTTGGATTTTCCTGGCTCTTTGTTTATTTGTCTGCCTCTCTTGAGCGGGAGCGGGGAAGACGTAGGAAGCCATGAAACCCTCCTTTGGAGCTGACCCTTAACTAGTCTTGGCACAAATGGCCTATTTGTTCTGGCATGGAGGAACTGTTGTGTTACTTTTTTCGGCAAGAATGCGGTTGGCCGGCTTCCCCGGGCGAGTCTTCAAGACGGCTGCCAAACAGAGCATTGTTGCTTGTTTTCACAGGATCCCTTTGCGGGATTTCTCTTTTGTTGGCAAGTGGACTTGGCACATGCTTCCCCCCCACCCATGCTGCTATACTTCGGCGGAGAGTGGCCGCCCCATTGTGTGACCGGATGAGTTTGTTTGAGGAGATAGACCGGAAGCTGTTGTGTGCGTGGAAGGGCCTTATGTTCAGCTCACTCAGGTGCTAACTCCCTTTGTGAAGGATGAGTTCTGTTAGGGGTGGCCAACTATGGCAACTTTGCAACCTGTGGACTTCAGTTCCAGAATTCTGGCTCAGGAATTCTGGGAGTTGAAGTCCTCAGCTCATAAAGTTGCCATCGTTGGCCACCCCCGAGTCATGTTTTGTTCCTCTCCTTGTTTCAGCTTGAAGGCATCTTCTCTGTCTGTTGAATCCTTTGACCTTTGCAGCTTCAAGTAGTTACTCGAGAGAGCTGTTGCTCTGCTTAAAGGGCTATCTGTACTTGCAGAGATACCAATGGAGATCCAGATCAAGGGAGCTTCTTCTCATGTATAAATGTCCAAGCCTTCCTACAGCAAAACAAAACAAAAAGGCAACAACAGATTGAGCTACCACCCAAGAACATGTCTCAGCTCAGCAAGGGGCTTAAAACATCTGTTTTGAAGTCTTTGTTCCAAATTTTGTATTTTATTTAAGCTTGTGTCTTGTTTCTTGTACTCATGGAGAGTTGTGGAAGAAGCCTAAAGAGAAATAATTTGGCTTCTAGTAGTGAGAGATGGGCTTTACCCTGATGTGTCTGTCGGCTTAGGCCATGGCAAGTCACTGTGCATTCACACAACGGTTCTTGTAAAAGTCTGAAGGAGACTTCTGGGGATACATTCAGCAATTGTCTGATGTGGACTCAGACTCCAAATTCAAGGACGCATGTTGATGCTTTAAAGCAGGGGTGTCCAACCTTGGCAACTTTAAGATCTGTGGACATGCTGGCCAGGGAATTTGGGGAGTTGAAGTCCACAAATCTTAAAGTTGCCAAGGTTGGACATACCCCCTCCCCTTTAAGAAAGGCCTTCTTGGTGGTCCCTAGCAATCAAAGGCCAAAGCATGGCAGCCCAGCAAAACACAGACCTAAGAACATTTGTTGGCTGAGCCTTGAACAAGAAAGTACTAAAGTGTTCTAGTTTTAGGACTTTTCCTTGAAAAAAATTCCTTGAAAGAATTCACCAAACAATGATGCTGTCTTTGTGGATTTGGTCAAAGCAACATTTCTCTAACTGGGAAATGAAGCAAACTTGAAGATGGTTTGTGGGCGGTAGGTCAGTTTTGTCGTGCAAAAAGCAATATAGTTTTCTAGAAGGCCAAAGCTGAGCATGGAATTTCTCTGCCTCCTAGTGAAAAACTAGAGGTTTCCAGGAAAGAAATAGAATGAGATTTCCATCTTTCAGGCTTCATCTTGATGGTGAGCCTCAGTGTTTAACTGTTCTGCACTAAATATCATCTTTTTGGGGCAACTACGATCAGTATATTGCTTCTATGTAGATTATCGACCCAGAAAGAGAAATCATACTTGGCATGAATTCTTTATCTGAATTGGGCCTTGTTTGTGATGAAAGTTGCCATCTTCTCTCCACACACCGTTGAAAGATAAAAAGGAGCAAACATTAGCCAAACCACAATCTCCTCCTCCTTGATTGACTAGTAGAGGCACCACAAGAGAGCCTCAAAACCAGACAGCCAAGCAGGTCAGCCCAAGGCAGAATCCATTTCTAGACGTTCTCCATATTTCCAGGATGTTGATCAACACAATTGCAAGGTATCTACTTTGGCACCCAAGCTGTACGATTTTACACGGGAGCAAATGCTCAACAGGTTGGAAGTGAATGAAACTGAGTTTTTTTTTTTAAACATGCTCCAGTGGACAAGCAGAAAAGCTGTTTCTTCATGAATTTGATTTGCTTTTTTGTTAGTTGGCTGGGCTAACTGGCAAGAGATAGCAAGCAGAGACAAATATTGCAATAGTCAAGATTCTTTAGGAAGCCAGAATGGCTGATGGTCACCAGTAGGAGAAAAGTCCGAGGGTAGCCGAGAGGACTGTTGACAGTAAATCTAGGAGACTTTAACTTGTGGGAAGGATTGCTTAGATTAATTTATTGCATAAATATATATATTTTGTACAGCTCTGCTGATTGGCAATCTTTGGGGACGTATTTGCTGCTTGTTGAAGGGGCCTTGAATCTTTTCTTGGTGATTATAGTCAGGCTTGGGATCCACGAGTGCTTTTCATTCAAAATGGCAGAAGTCTCGGATGAAATTTCTCCTCAAGGCAAGAAAAGGGAGGAGCAAATGTGAGCTTTGACTTCCCAAAAACGTAACAAGGGTGTTGTGCATTACTGTTATTTAAACAAAAATATTTTCTTTGAAAGGGTGGGCGGGCACAATGGTTTGCAGGACAGACTGAAGAAAAGCGTTTTAGGGTAGCATTTTTATTTTGCGTGATTTTTAAGAGACATTGAAGAGAACTCGGGATTCGTGGTAACCGAGTGTTTAACAGACTCACCCCAACAAAATGTATTCCCCCGTTTTCTTTTTCCCAAGAAAGTCTCAAAACTCTCTCTTTTTTGGGGGTGTGGGTGGGGTGCAGCTGCCTTGTTTTTAATCCCTCAGAGTTTTGCCCATCAGCCTAAACTGGTTTTTTTGCTCCGTTTGGAATAGAGTTAACGGTAGGGGAGATGTTCAGGGTTTTAAATACACCTATCGGAAAGTGGATTTTGCTTAGTTTATATGCAGGATTAAAATGCAGGAGACCTCTACATGTGTGAAAAGGACCTGGGTCTCTCTCTCAATTCGTCAGTGAAGAAATTTATTTGCATGAAGAGGAAAAAAAAAAAAAACCCTCTGCATGGCTGTTTGTCCTCCCTGGTTGAAGTGAATTAGGCTGTGGTTGCAACTGGGTCAGAAAGAACTTCCCTGTGTCATTCAGAAAGGACAATTTGGGTGGGGTGGGGTGGAGAGACTTAAGAAGCAAATGCCTCTATGTTCTCGAATCCACTGTAGCTCATTTTGTTTGTTCCTTTGCCTGAGCCCAAGGGGTACACTCCACAAACAAGGAATGTTATGTTTTATTTGTTTTAACCAAGTTTAAGCCTGTTTTGCAACGTTTCATCTCTCCCCCAACCCCCCCCCATCTGTCCTGATCCTGACCTGGTTACCTGTAACTAATTTTGTTACAGACATGTCAAACTCAACTGCCTTGGCTTCTCTTCACTCTTGTTGTGGGTCGCCCATCTTTCTCGTTGTCGGTGAGAGTTGTGGTCAGCAAATTCAGCCCCTTGGTTTTTTGTTTTTTTTTTTTTGTCTATGCATTCCACACCAGTAAGCTGTCCTGTTATGGAAGGGCTTTGCCAAGGGACACTTGGTATCTAGAAATAGTTTCTGTGGTCTCTTTCCTTCACTTCCAGCTTTGATTTCTAGGCTGTGAAGTCCAGGGGTTGCATTTTAACATAGCTGACCATTCCCTTTGGCTCCTGCAGCAGTCAGTCCATAAAAATCCATTGTTGGCTTCTCAGGTTTGTAGCAGAGGTAACAAGGACTTCTTCTGCTGTGAGACTGGGACCTCCAGACTTTCAGAAGGTCTTGGTGATACCTTCGTATTCCCTAACGATCAATGTTCTGGTGTGAATCTTTTGTTTCCTCATGCCCATGCGTTCTCCCGAGGCTGTTCCTCATGCTCTGCTCTCTGGCTCATGCTGGTGGAAGCACAGATGACTCTTCTTCCTGTGCCATTCATCCCTAGATGTGCCAATCAGCCAAATGAAAGGGTTAACTGTCACAGCTGCAGCCACCCACCGTGCTTATTGAGGACACATTCTCCTTCACCCCTTTCTTGAACACAGCAACATGGGACAGCTGTTGGCTCCTTTAGGATTCTTGCCCTCTGTGGCCTGACTTGATGCTAAGAGTTTTGTCTTCAGGCCAATGGGGCATCCTGGAATGGTAAGGAGGAAGGCAAGTTCTCCCCTTCTTTATCACCCTCAATCTGTTGCTCTTTCTGACCACGGCTGTTGTGAAGACGATGGTGGTGATGGTGATTCTCAATGTTTACATTACCTCATTTTACTTTGGGGCAGTTGAGGTGTGGTACCACGGGATGCTCTGGGGATTTTTCTCCGTGGGTCAAATTCTCCTAGTGATGCTGAAGTCTTTGGGACAGATTTGGGGGGAACTACTCCATTTCCAATAATCCAGCTCCAAAACAGGAACACGTAGCCATCTCATAATAGTCCCCTGCATGAATAAGGATGGTGGGAATCCACCCATCTCTCTTCTTCCCTCCCTTTTTCTCACTTTAAGCATGACATTTGGGACAAAGTCCCCCCCCACAACTCATATTCTTAAGCTGCCACTTTTCTCCAGCTACTTTTCGACTCCCTAAAGAGAGGAAGATTTTTTTCAAAAGGAGAACTTTAAAGGGACTGGACAGAAGGCCAAGTAATATATCCTTTCCCACTTTCCCTGCATTCATTTCAGATGGGAGGATCTGGGACAATTACAGCATAATTCTGGAGCCAAGCCACATGCTAAAGATCCCTTCCCCCCCAAACCTCTCCCCCCCGATTGTGTGTACGCGTGTGTGAGGTTGTGTGCGCAAGTGTGCGTGTGCATAGGATCTGTCTGTGCGAGTCTGTCTCTCTACTAAACTTTGCGCTGTGCGCGAGGTCTAATATAAGTTGATTACAAAAATAAAAACAAAAAAAAAAACAGAAAATCATCAACCACCACAAAGCTTGACTTGATAGAAGCTAGGAGTTATCAAGGCTACAAAGCCAAAATCTTAATGTAAAGTAGCTAGACAAAGAAATGGAATAAAAAGTATGAATAAAATATAATGAACAGAAGACAGTAGGTGTCATTGCTTTTTATTATCATTGGTGCTATCATGATTTCACTGTTTCAGGGTTGCCTTTTTCTACAATTACTATGCCTTGTTCTTAGTGCATTTTCCTTTAGAGGCAAAGTCATTTTAACCAAGGGTCTTCTGCGGACTGATACCCAGGCAAGGGCCAACTCCACACAAATTGCTCAATTGGGAGACGGACCCGCTCAAAGCCTTGTCTTAAATTATGGAAGCAAGTAAAATTAGGAAGCACTTATCTCTGGAAAAACTTGCCGAGTTTTGTCTGAACCATTGCCTTTCTGAGAATGGTACCCTTTGTTGCTATTGTTAAGTCTAGGAAAAGGACTCTGGTACAGAGGTGTCCAACCTTGGCAACTTGGAAGACTTGTGGACTTCAACTCCCAGAATTCACCAGCCAGCCAAGTTGCCAAGGTTGGACATCCCTGCTGTAGTACGTGACTAGACTAGATTAGGAAGTGGATCTTCACTAATGTCAACATGTAAGTTTTTTTTTTTAAGAAATTAAGAAAACAACCTTGCAGGAATAGTGAGACATCTACGGTTCTTCCCAGGTGAGTTTTTGTTTTGGGTCTCACCAGCTCCATATGGCATGGCTGAGAGATGTGGGACCATGTCTGGAGGACCACAGATTTACCCATCTCAACATTACCATGAAGGAAAGTTCTCTCACACTGCAGCAGATGGTTTGGAATCCTTAAATCTGAATGAAGACTAGAAAAACTTGAAGAATGGATGCATTCAGCTCATGAGACTTCAACAGCTCTACCTCATGGAGCATATTAAAGGAAACTGGAATTTTAAATATCAAATGATCCAAGATCATTTTTTAAGTCTTTGGGCATTAATTGGCTGTCATCTGTTTCTTATCTCCTCTTCCAGGTGGGGAAGGGCATGGTTGCATTGCAGATTTTCTCCAAGGTTTATGGGGATTTATTATTATTTTTTGCTTAGAAAAAAATCAAATGATGGATGGAAGTGGTTTGTTCTGAGCTTCATAGGAATACACAGCAATCAGACACCTGCCCCCCCCCCCAATGTCACAACAAGTTACAACAAGGAAATGTACGGTGTGAATAAGGAACCAAGCGTAAGCTTCCTTCTAACCATATGGATGCTGTGTACACCTATGCAAAGACATCAGGATCAAAAGCTTTACCTGCCAAAAGGGTTTGAGTTTTGATCCTCAACCTGAACCCCAAAACTCATGAACAGTCACTAAGTGGCGAAGCACACCTAGAAAATAAGGTTGATTTAGCCCTGTTTTTCATAGCTGCTTCAACTGCAGCCAGTTGAAAGATGTTTTTGAAAGAACTTTTCGTATTCCCATTCTGGATGGGAATGTGGCGTGTGGTGACTGAGGATTGCTGGCATTTAACTACCATAAGGGAAATTTATCTCTAAAGCTGAATTACAAGTCCCTTTTCAAATGGAAACCAGGCATTGACCCACTACTGTAAGAATAAACATGCATAGGTGAAGTTGTCCCCAGTCAAAAGATTTATCGAAAATTATGACTGGAAGATACTTGTTTCTCCCTGAACACACGAAGGAAACAAGGATGAACACGCCACTGATCCAACCTTAAGACAGGGAGTCTCCAAACTTGGCCTCTTTTAAGACTTGTGGACTTCAACTCCCAGAATCCCCTAGCCAGCATGGGGAATTCTGGGAGTTGAAGTCCACAAGTCTGAAGTTGGATACCCCTGGTCTAGAGAAAGCAATAGAACACGGTAGAGAAGCTACCTCTCGTTCTTGAATATTGGAAGCCGCCCCCCAAAAAAACCTCACCCCAACCTTAAAAACTCCTCTATTGTTTAAAAATATACGCATAAGTCAATTCTAGTTGATCACGGTTTCACCGTATCGATTTTCTCACCAAATTTAAGTTCGTGAAAACCTGTTCAGGAGGTCCCATCTGCCAGAGTCATGCAGCATTGCAAAGTTCAAGGATATAAAATGCCCCAAATTTCATAAGCAACTTTCAGAACCGTTTCAACCTGCTACATTTTGGGAAGCAAAAAAAAAAGACCCATCCCTTGAATTTCAGAAGTCTAGGAGTGCCATCTAGCGGAGATGGCCCTGCATTGCCTGTGGAGGTTCTCATTCTGTTAAGACAGTGGTTCTCAACCTGTGGGTCGGGACCCCATTTGGGGTCAAACGACCATTTCACGGGGGTCGCCAAACAACGCAGTCCGCCATTTTTTCCCCACTTTTCCTTAGCTGTGCTACTCCCTTTTATTCTATTGGCTCTTGAAAGCCAATAGAATAGACTCTCTTGAATAGAGTCTAATTCTATTGGCTTTCAAAAGCCAATAGGAATTGTCCAGGCTGTCTCTGCCCTGCTGAGCCCGCCAAAAGTCCCATTCTGCAAACGGTGCTGCACCAGTTGAGTAGTCCTCGACTTATGACCGGTTGAGTAGTCTTCGACTTAGGACCAGTTGGGGGTCGCGGCATTAAAAAGGTTGAGAACCACTGCATTAAGACATTTTGCTTCTCATCCAAAAAGCTTCTTCAGTTCTGACTGCTAGAACTGAAGAAGCTTCTTGGATGAGAAGCACAAACGTCTTAAAGAAAAATCAGGAAGTCCACTTGCCTTTAAAATAAAAGCACCTTTGAGAGAAGGCCCCAGGTTGCTAATTCCTTTTAGAAAGGTTAACGAGGAGAAGATTGTAAAACTTAAATTTATCTGCTACTGGTGTGTGATGGGAATCCATATTAGTATAGTTCTACTTGCTATTTCCCTCATCCAAAACTGGCCAATAAGGAAACATAAATTCTGAATTATTTCCGGACAATGGAACACCAGCCTTGCTATACTTTCAACAAAGCCAAGGTTGACTAAGATTGCACTTTGTTTGCGTTCTTCTAATCTGGCTGCTTGGCCACGGTGGTGACCCTCCCAAGCACCAAAGGGTGACCACTTGCCTGCTTCAGATATCAGTGTTCGGTGAAGAACTTTCTTCTGTCAGCTTTTGCTACCATCATTTCAAAAGCTTGCTCTGGAGATTTGCCTAAACCTATCACTTGCATGATCAGGAACTTATTCTTCATACTTGGAATTCACTCAGGACAAGCATTGGATTGACCTTGGCCCATGTCAAGGAGGAAATTAACAAAATTATGCAATCACTGGAAGCTTTCTGCTCCAACTAATGCCTAGATGGTGATAGTTTCAAGGCTACTGTGGTCATCTCCACAACATTTCCAGCTTCCTGAGTTCTTCTCCTGCTTCTCTCTTGTAGGTTTACAATGAGCTCAAACTTTTTGATTCTTAGCTTTGCCTGACTGCCCCACATTGGGACAGGGACACTGGGACTCTAAATTAATTCCAGACTGAAGACAGATGAAGGTTCAGGGTGGAGAATGTCCTGGTGCAGCTGAGATGGCAAAGACCTCAATGAAAATCTACTTTAGGGAGAGATGCAGTTAGTATTTACAAAACTGGGACAACGATGGGATGAACGGTGCCATCCTGACCTCTTGGTCTGTCTCAGTTTGTCTCAAAGGAAGGCAGTTAGTCAACCGGTTGCTAAGCTCAAGATGGAAGCCACCGATGTCTCCCTGGAGGAGGAAATAAATCTAGACAGCCTCATGATTCCACCTCGTGGAATGAGATTCCTTTCAATCCGGCTGCAGTGATTTCTTAGTCCTGGAGTCTGCAGGGCTCCTGAAATAGAAAAGAAACAGGATGCATTGTAAAGACTGACTTGTGAAACCTGGTTTGTGAGCACCGCAACAATTAGCCGTTGGGAGAAATTCACTCAACATCTTTTTCGAATGGATCCATGGACTGACATCCAGTTCCCTTCGCGGGTTCCAGATCCCTGGATTCTGCAATGTAGCTGGCATTATTTATATATTTGTTGCCTCCATTTATTTCATCCATTCAGCTATTTACTCTTGGGGGGGGGGGGGAAAGCCTACATTAACGGAAAGGGCATATAAAAATGTGGATTTTTTTTTTTTTTAAAAAGTGAAAAGTAACATTCAGAACAAAGAAAATGGTTGTATCAACTGGAGATGTTAGGTGAAATGGAATTCACAAGTGTACGTAAGGAAAAATGAAGAGTAGTGTGAATTTTGAAGGGTCATTTAGGTGAGATGGGCGGGACAGAACATAAAAAAACAAATATTTTAGAAGGATTTCAATATGTAATATTTAATTTAAAAAAAACCCCTTCAAATGCATCATGTTCCTATATTCTTAAGTCTTCTGCATCACACATGATGTTTTATGCCTCGTATCTCTTTAGAGCCATGGTGGTGCAGTGGTTAGAATGCAGTATTGCAGGCTAACTCTGCCCACTGCCAAAAGTTCAGTTTTGATCGGCTCAAGGTTTGATGCAGCCTTCCATCCTTTCGAGGTTGCTAAAATGAGGACCCAGATTGTTGGGGGCAAATATGCTGACTCTGTAAACCGCTTAGAGATGGCTGTAAAGCTCTGCCAAGTGGTATATAAGTCTAAGTATGAGCCGAGGTGGCGCAGCAGTTAGAGTGCAGTACTGCAGGCCACTTTAGCTGACTGTGTTCAGCAGGTCAGTGGTTCAAATCTCACCGGCTCAGGGTTGACTCAGCCTTCCATCCTTTCGGGGTAGGTAAAATGAGGACCCAGATTGTTGGGGGCAATGTAAATATATATATATATATATATATATTGTCAAAATAATGATCACCAAGAGAATATCTATCAAAAATAGAATTTAATCCACCAAGCTTTCGTCAAATACATTTGACATCGTCAGGGTTAAAAGGCAAACGCCGGGGGAAGTCTTATATACAGTTGTTTAATGCCTGTTTCCGGCTCTTGAAACAGGCATTAAACAACTGTATATAAGACTTCCCCCGGCGTTTGCCTTTTAACCCTGACGATGTCAAATGTATTTGACGAAAGCTTGGTGGATTAAATTCTATTTTTGATAGATATTCTCTTGGTGATCATTATTTTGACAATATGAATACCCCCAAGAGTCGCATTTTTGTTTTTATTTATATATATATATATATATATATATATATATATATATATATATATATATATATATACACATACATACACATTGCTTACTGGTGTACACCGCTTAGAGAGTGCTTGCACTTAAAGCGGTATATAAGTCTCATAAATAAAATAAAATAAATAAAATAAGTGCTGTTGCTATTGCTATCTGGATTTATTTATTTATTTTTACTAGATGGAATATCCTGAGCTAATCTCTCCTTTATCGTGAGTAGAGCGTTGTCTCACCTTTGTTGCAAACGGCACTCTGGTGCAAATTCATCTCCTACTCCTCCACAGGTATAGCACAGTTTTCTTTATTTTCCGACGGGATGGCGAGGTAGTTGGTACTAGGGAGCAAAAATGGTGTTATTTGCAGAAGAACCCTAAATACTCAAGTGTGCATTTAAGGAGAGCCCCACCGATTGAGACCAGCTCGGTAGCATCATCTAGGTTAGGATTTCTCAACCATGACAATTTCCAACCATGTGGGCTTCAGTTCCCAGAATTCTAGAGCCAACAATAGCCATTGCTGAGAATTCTGGGAGTTGAACTCCACTCAATCAGCCAAGGTTGGAAAATACTGATCTAGATAAACTTGGTTTCAAAGAGCTAAGCAAAGACCGAGGTGGATAGGAGACCATCAAAAAATACCCAGAGTATTAGCTAGTTGGGAAAAAATTCTAGGAAAAATTCTAGTGGTATAGCTTTGTCAAAGCAACTATGTAGATGTGTTCATTGGATTACCTAGAATCTAGTGTGGTGAAGGAGTTATGGATTTTTTAAAAAGTGTTCACTGGTTTTATTGTTTTTACTGTCATTGGTGAGCTGCCCAAGGTTATGTTGTATAAGATGGGTAGCCATGTACTTTATCTAATGGAATAAAATGTGCTACCTTTATTAAGAATGGATAAAGCAAAAATCTGGCATGCAAAGATCCAGAATTTTATCTCTAGCAGATTAGGTGAGACTGCTGTTTCAGGCCCTCTCCCCACCCCCTTTCTGGATGGCCTTGTTTCTCTCTGTGCTTCTTCCCCCCCCCCTGCTTTGTCAGGAGTATCCGTAAGTTATGATCACAAAAATCAAGATGGCACCCTCAGTGGTGCAACTGAAGGTTTGGTTGCAGTTTGGTAGGCACCATTGGGACTTGGGACTAGGCCTGTTGGATACTCTGTAGTGTTTGCAGGATCCAATCTGGATTCGTCACTGGGACCAGGGGTTTAGTTTTCCGAGCTTTCTGATTCATGCTGGAGCCCATCCTGAGGGACTATCTCTCTAGCAGAGTGTGTGCTTGGGCTATTCTCTGGGTGGTATTTATATGGTGCCTAGTTGTGTGGCTTTTTGATTGTTGATTGGGGTGTTAATGGCCACCTATTAAGTCATTGGTTGTTGTTTCCTTGTGCTAGCAAGCCCTCGCTTCCTAAATACTTGATAAGTTGGTGGTAAATCAACACTCCTGTTGACTGATTTAGTCATTTCCCTGGCTATTTTTGTACCTGCTCGGCCAACAATCTGAGTAGCTTAGTAGCTGCAAAATTGAATATATGTCCTTGCTTATTGCAATGAACCAACTCTGTGGTTTGTTCTTCTCTTTCTGGCTGCAGTAGAGAAACAGGTACATCTTACAAAGGATCTGAACTCTGATTATACTGTAGGTTGACCTCAGCTAAGTCAGCCTGAGCCACTTTTCTGTTTTTCCCCCTGCTGCTGAAATGCAGTTTTACTTTCTTCTTCTTCTTCTTCTTCTTTTTGCTTCCCAGGATGCCCAGCTTTTCCAAACTCACGCATTTTCCTGGGCGGTCTCCTCTGCTTTGGAGACTTTTCGGTAGCAGTAAATCATCTCAATCAGGAGCCACAATGTGAGGAAGACCAAGAGAATATACATCATTATTGCAGAGATGAAAGAGGTTACATCTTTTCCAGCTGTAGAGGAGATTTAAAAAAAAGAGGGGGGGGGAGATAATTCCAGGATTGATCCATATGAGCAAAACCCCTTTCATGTAATCAAGTCTGTGGAACTTAATTTTGCAGGCAGAACTGGGATAACCCTGAGCTTCTCTAATTGGCTGTATCTTCCGTGAAATTAAAAAAGAGGGATGCAGATTTTCTGGCTTGACCAGTAAGTTTAGTAAGCATTTCCAGGCACAGATATTTTTTTTTTAATAGAGCAAATGGGGCTACCTAGAAAACTTCTGGGCATATTGCAAGTGAGAAGCTGCATCCCAACGGTTGCAATTCAGCAGTTGGCTGCTGCAAACCAGAACAGAACCGGTTCCAGTCCCCCTCCTGAATTGTACTGCTTCAGAGCATTTGAACTTTTAACCACCTCTAATCATCTTTGTTGCTCTTCTTTAGACTCTAGAAAAAGTACAGAGAAGAGCAACAAAGATGATTAGAGGTCTGGAGGCTAAAACATATAAGGAATGGTTGCTGGAATTGGGTATGCTAGTTTAATGAAGAGAAGGACAAGGGGGACATGATAGCAGTGTTCCAGTATCTCAGGGGTTGCCACAAAGAACAGGGAGTCAAGCTATTTTCCAAAGCGCCTGAAGGCAGGACAAGAAGCAACGGATGGAAACTAATCAAGGAGAAAGGCAACCTAAAACTAAGGAGAAACTTCCTGACAGTGAGAACAATTAACCAGTGGAACAACCTACCTCCAGGTCCCTTCTAACTTTATTATTATTATTATGGATCATCGCACAGTCAGCCAGATGTTCAGACTGGATTTGGCATTTTGTCTACCTATCGAGTCCTTACCCAGGACCTGGGATAGGCAGATGTGGATATTATTATTATTATTATTATTATTATTATTATTATTATTATTATTATGGATCATCGCACAGTCAGCCAGATGTTCAGACTGGATTTGGCATTTTGTCTACCTATCGAGTCCTTACACAGGACCTGGGATAGGCAGATGTGGATGTTTGATGGTATTACAGGTATCGTCGCAGGATGGAAGCAGTTCCTAATAAGGCCGCCTTTTGCAATTGACTAATAGCAAATTTGTCAATGCCAATGGTGTTCAAGTGGTGCTCCAGTTGTTTTGGGATTGCGCCCAAGGAGCCTATGACTATTGGTACTACCCTTGCTTGCTTTTGCCACAGTCTTTCTATTTCTATTTGTAGGTCTTTGTATTTTGTTATCTTCTCCAGTTCTTTCTCTTCTATTCTGCTATCTCCAGGCACTGCCACGTCCACTATCCAGACTTTTTTGTCTTTCTTATCGACAATTGTTAAGTCTGGGGTGTTATGTTGCAGGTGCTTGTCTGTTTGAATTCTGAAGTCCCAGAGCAGTTTAATTTTATCATTTTTATGACTTTCTCTATTTTATGATCCCACCAGTTTTTGCTTACAGGCAAATGATATTTTTTGCAGATCTTCCAATGCACCATTGTTGCTACTTTGTCATGCCGCTGCTTGTAATCAGTTTGTGCAATCTTCTTGCAACAGCTTACCAAGTGGTCCACTGTTTCTTCAGCTTCTTTGCATAGGCGGCACTTACTGTCTGTTGCTGTCTTCTCAATTTTGACTTTGTATGCATTTGTCCTTAAGGCTTGGTCTTGTGCAGCCAGAATTAGTCCCTCGGTCTCTTTCTTCAATTTTCCTGCTCTTAGCCATTGCCAGGTCTTATTATTATCTGCTTTCCAGCTATTTTTTTCATGTATTGGCCATGTAGTGCTTTGTCTTCCCATGCCTCTATTCTGTTCTTCATTTGGTCTTTCTTGTAGGCCAGTTTTGGTCTCTCCAGTAGTCAGTAAGCCTTCCTGATATATTAATTTCAGTGCATCTTCATCATTGTTCTTCAGATATTCTTCCAAAGCCATTTTTTCTTCTTCAACCATCTGATGTACTTGTAGCATTCCACGCCCACCTATTTGCCTTGGTAGATAAAGTCTATCAATGTCACTGCGTGGATGAAGGGCGTGATTCATTATTTATTATTATTATTATTATTATTATTATTATTATTAGTATTATTATGGATCATCGCACAGTCAGCCAGATGTTCAGACTGGATTTGGCATTTTGTCTACCTATCGCGTCCTTACCCAGGACCTGGGATAGGCAGATGTGGATGTTTGATGGTATTACAGATATCGTTGCAGGATGGAAGCAGTTCCTAGTAAGGCTGCCTTTTGCAATTGACTAATAGCGAATTTGTCAATGCCAATGGTGTTCAAGTGGTGCTCCAGTTGTTTTGGGATTGCACCACTTGAACACCATTGGCATTGACAAATTCGCTACTGGTGTTCAAGTGGTTGTTGTTGTTGTTATTATTATTATTATTATTATTATTATTATTATTATTATTACTTCTGCAAGACAAGATCAAGATTTGTTTTGACAGTCTAGGTTTCACTAAGAGTTATAGCCACAGAGATAATCTTGGACCTTCAACCATCTGTTTAATGACCGTTTGAAGTTATGATAGGGCTGAAAAATGTGACTTAATAACCGGCCCTTTATTTATGACCATTGCAGTGTCTTGGATGATCAAAAACAAGGAACAAACTTTGGGTGTTTGGCAACTGGCATGCATTTACAGTGGCCACAGGGTCACAATCCGCAACCTCCCTAGGGGGCTTCTGACAAGCAAAGTCAAAGGGGGAAGCCAGATTTCCTTAATGACTGTGTGATTCACTTAACAGCCGCAGCAAAAAAAAGGTAATAAATTTGGGCACAACTCACATAGCAACTGCACTGCTTAGTGACAGGAGTTTCAATCTCAACTGTGGTCATAAGTCAAGGACTACCTGTAGCTGTTGTTACTGTTATTGTAATGTATGAGCCATTGTTCTACCAGAATAAAAAGCTAGACAACAACAACAACAACAACAACAACAACAACAATAATAATAATGTTAGAAGGGACCTTGGAGGTCATCTAGGCCTCCTATACCTATACCCTAAATCAGTGGTTCTTAACCTTTTTGAACGAATCGCCCCCTTGAGCCAATAAGGAAGTTGTCATCGCCCCCCCTCCCTGAACATAACCTCTCAATCACAACATAGGAAATAATTCTTCAATTTATGCAAACCCTTTTTTTGTTTTCTTTAAAATTGTCAATCAGGACATATCGATGCAAATAATTTATTTCCAGTCTTTTCCCCGTATCTCCCATATTCTGGCTAATGGCATGCCACAGTATGGGTAGAGGCTGCTGCCCAACGCACATGAAGATAAGCGATGCGTATTCACATAGGTACGGCGTTCTGTACTGAAGCTAGTTGGAGGAACATTTGAAAACGCAATTCAATCCACTAATAGCGAGCAATCTGATGTTTTTGTATGACAGATATACAACAATTCACTATACGAAAAAGCCTCAAAAGTGTCCCCAAAACTTCTCGCTCCATCGCCCCCATATTGCCCCCTTTTCGTTCCATCACCCCCCTGAAAAATGAAATCACCCCCTGGGGGGGCGATATCGCCCAGGTTAAGAACCATTGCCCTAAATCATTTCAGACAAATGGCTGTCCAGTCTCTTCTTAAAAACTTCCAGTGTTGGAGCATTCACAGCATCTGGAGGCAGGTTGTTCCACTGGTTAATTCCCTCTGTCAGGATATTTCTCCTTAGTTCTAGATTGCTTCTCTCTTTGGTTAGTTTCCATCTGTTGCTTCTTGTCCTGCCTTCAGGTGCTTTGGAGAATAGCTTGACTCCCTTTTCTCTCCCTAGGTCCTCCTAGAGGACCTAGGAAAGAGAAGAAGGCAAAACATTTAATAATAATAGTAGTAAAGTTGGAAGGGACCTTGGAGGTCATCTAGTCCAACCCCCTGCTCGGGCAGGAAACCCTACACCATTTCGGACAAATGGCTGTCCAGTCTCTTCTTAAAAACTTCCAGTGTTGGAGCATTTATGCTTCTGGAGGCAAGCTGTTCCACTGATTAATTGTTCTCACTGTCAGGAAGTTTCTCCTTAGTTCTAGGTTGCTTCTCTCCTTGATTAGTTTCCAACCGTTGCTTCTTGTCCTGCCTTCAGGTGCTTTGGAAAATAGCTTAATTCCCTCTTCTTTATGGCAGCCCCTGAGATATTGGAATACTGCTATCATGTCCCCATCATTTCTCACAACCTAATCTGAAATGCACATTATGATCAACAAGTTCCTCCCAGGCAGTTAAAGTACTGATCTTTGGGGAAACAAGAGTGTGACTACATGAAAAATGATCCCAGATCACCATTAGAACAGGGGAAGGAAGCCAAGAGCCACTGTCTCCTAAAAAACCAAATGTTTCTATCCTCCCCACTTGCTCAGTAGCCTCCCATGCACAGTAGGTGCCTTCTGGAGACATGGACACAGCTCACACAAGTACATGCAGAGTCACTCAGCCAACATACTGCAATGGAGGAAGAGTGCCATGTCTACACCCATCCTGATCAGACTGTCCTTTGTTTCTGTACTTTTACTTTCCCTTCCGCAGATGTTCTGCTGAAGAGCAGGGGAAAGAACCACAACGAAAAGAAGAAAACAGACAGGGATTTTGGGAAGGAAAAAAAGCAGAGGGAAGAGAACATAGGGAAGATGTTGCGGGGGCGAGAGCTGTGGGCCAAAAGGAAGCAGAAAGAACAACACACAACAGTGGGAGAGAGAACGCAACATTCTGCTCCCAGGGAATAGCTCAGTAAACTGAGCTGTGGATGAATTGTGGATAATTATTGGTGGCACCAACTCAAGGCAAAACTGGGGTCATTGGAGGGTAGGAAAAAAGAAGTGGTAGAGAACAGTTGGTATCATTACTGCAATCTTGACCTAATGTTTGACGTATTTTTCCGAAGGATCATAAGACAAGAAGCAACAGACGAGAACTAATCAAGGAGAGAAGCAACCTGGAACTAAGGAGGAATTCCCTGACAGTGAGAACAATTAACCAGTGGAACAGCTAGCCTCCAGAAGTTGCTGGTGCTCCAACATTGCAGGTTTTTAAGAAGAGACTGAACAACTACTTGTAATCCTGTATTTGCAAAATAAACCTCGGCTACTGATGTTAACTTAAAGTCTGGAGATGGGACCCCTTGTGTTAGCCTACCATCCTCCACCACTGTGAGATGAATCAGTGTCGAGCTGGTGAAGATGGGGTGGTGGGTCTCAAAGAGGAATTCCCGGGTGACATTGCAGGTGTAGATCCCTGAATCGTTCAGAGAGATGTTGAGAACTGATATGGAAACGTCCTGCATATCTGCACTTCCGTTCCACTCCAGCCGCCCCTGGAAAGGACTTTCAAGTTCCCGTTTCTCATTGTTGTATTCGTAGATCTGTAAAGCTCCAGAAAAAGGAGGCACCGCTTTAGCGATAGCCCTTAGACTCATGTATACCACCCCATAGTGCTTCACACTATAAAGTTTTATAGGCCAGAGCTGCTTTGAGATTGGCAGAAAATTAATTTATTTTGATGCTAATCATTAAAAACTACAGAAAAGTGGATCAAGGAGGAAATGTCATCTAACTTCATTTTGTAAGCTAGAGTGGCATTTTTTTAAAGTGTCCTTGAACTTCGCATCTTCTTTTCTGGAAACTAACTGATGGGCATCTCAGATGCCTATAAGTAAGAGCAAATGCCAGTCAATTGCAGAAGCGTCTAACTTCACCCATCGTTTTGTCCGATGACGGAATCAAATGCTGATTTCTAATCTAGGAAAGCTCCCTAGAAGAAAATGGTGGTGTTTTTGGAATACTTCTCAGTTAAATGTCGGAATGATGCAAGGCCATGATCCACAGTTGATTGACCTTCCCAAATCTGTTCCTTGTCTAAAAGATGTTTACCATATTCTAGCAATTCCTCAGTTTATAGTTGCTGTATAAGCGCTTAGCCAAAAGATTACTGATTGTGCTTACTGGTCAATAATTTTCTGGGTCATCGTCTGCTGTTTCTAAAAAAGGGGGGAAATGATAAATACAACCCACAATCCCTAGGGATTTGCTTAAAATATGTGAACGGTGAGCCTCAGATTAGCCCCATCATGAAATGCTATTTTTTTTATCTGAGATTAAACTATTTCCAGCAGCTTTCTCAGATCTTAACTGGGAAATTAAATTGTTAACGGCAGCTGCCCTCACCAGTGGTCAATTCCATATGCTCGCTGGATCCAGGGAATTCTGAAACTTCCATAAAACAGGACTCACCACCTCCATATATTCACTAAAATATTTTTTCCAGGCTTTGGGCATGATATAGCTGCATTGTTTTTCCTAGCATTTTTACATAACTGCAGAGTCCACATGCTTTGGGGGGGGGGGGAAAATCAACCAAGTATTAGTTGTGACAGGATTAATTAAAGGAATAAAGGGATTGGGAGATCTGTAATCATTTGCCAAAACAGAGGAGAGATATACTAGCTAGCTTTCCGAAGCAAGATGCAGCTATTTATCTTTGATGACTTCTCATAGTCTCTTTCTCTTACTCTGAAAGAGTTGCTTAAATAATTATTATTGTTTGTCATACAGTCCCCCAGATATGCAGACTGGATCTGACATTTTTATCTACCTATCAGATCCTTCCTAAGGATCTGGGACAAGCAGATATTGATGTTTGTGGTATTAAGAGATATTATCGCAAGATGTAAGCTGTTCTGAGTAAAGCTGCCTTTTGCAATTGACTGATGGTGAATTTGTCAATGCTGATGGTGTTCAAGTGATGCTCCAGATGTTTTGAGATTGCACCCAAGATGCCTATTATTATTGGTACTAGCTTTGCTTTCTTTTGCCAAGTGGTTCTTTTCCCCCCAGGTATCATCATCATCATCATCATCATTATTAGTACTATTACTACTACTTATGGATGTCCTGAGGACATCCATACTACTTATGGATGTCCTGAGGAGATTTGGAATCAATCCATGAAGCCACATAGTTGGGCAATATTTAAAGAGTTTAAATGCTTTTGTAATTCCTGAATTTTCTTACAATATTTTTTATCACAGAGATAAAAGAGTTAGACAAGAGGAAGGAAAGATTGAAAGATGGAATATTCTGTGACAAGGAAACTGTAATTGCTTTATCCATATTGGGGGTGGGGGGAATCAAAGTCACCTGGAATGCCATAGGTCCCCTCCATCTAGAAATAAACCCAACTCTATTTTTATACTCTAACACCCCCCCTCCCCTAAAAGCCAAATTAGATTTACATCCTGTCTTTCCCCTAAGGCAGAATGCACATCCCTCCTTCCTCCATTTTTTTAAAAATCCACAGCAACAATCCTGTGATGTTGACTTAAGCTGACAAACTGAGTGGCTGGCCCAAACTCGCCCTACGGGCTTGCAAGGGTGAGGATGGATTCAAATCTAAATCTCCTCAGATTTAATTCATGGCTCCGATCACTATCACACATCCACCCTTTATAAAATTGGATATTCCCCCTCCCCCACCATCTCTTTGCCAGAACACCTCTGGCAAATAGGAGTAGCTTTTTCCTGCAAACGTATTGCAACAAAACCCTGCTGTTATGGATCAGGTTCCATAAACAAGGGCGCCTTTTTAAAGAGATTCCCTTTCAAGTGTGATTATATTCAGAGAGAAGATATTCCAGTCCCTCTGTCTTCTTTTCTGAAACTCCTAATCCTAATTTCCAGTTAGCATGGCCATTTCCTATCATTACAGCAGGGGTCCCCAGCCCCCGGTCCATGGACCAGTACAGGGCCACGGCATGCCAGCAACCAGTCCGCACAAACAAACAAAGCAGGCAGCACACAAAACCACGCACTCTCTGATCTACGGAAAGGCCTTTTTCTGGTCCCTGGTGCCCAGAAGGTTAGGGACCTCTGCTTTATAGGATCTCCCATGGACAAAATACCCACCCCCATAAAAGTATTTTAAATCGGATCTCCCTTCCCATTCATCCTCCTACAACTTGGAAATTTCTCCTAATGTTGAGTTGAAATCTGCACTCTTTCTGAGACCCTGTTCCCATTTTTCCCGCCCATTTCCCTCGGTCCACACATTCAAGGTACAGAAGTAATCACTCACGGCTACATCTTGCCCTCCTTCGGGCTTGTAGAACCATTTCACCAAGGTGTTAGCAGAAACCTCTTCCCGCTTCATACAGGAAATGCACAGGAGTTTCATGCGCGATCCTTGCACGGCCTCTGTCTCCGAAGGGACCTCGACGCAAACGGAAGAACAAATGCCGACTGGATAATGATGGAAAGGATGCCACCCAGGGTCAGTTGGAAGGTGGAGAAGACGTGTGACCATTGCCAAGTTAGAAAAGAAAGAAAAAGGAAGATCAATGCACAAGACACATGAAATGACACGCTACTCAACTTGTTTCTTTCTCGCTGAATGAGAATAAAGTAAATAAATAAATAGCCTAGTAGTGAGACCACACCTGGAATACTGCAATCAATTTTGGTCGCCATACTACAAAAAAGATGTTGAGACCTTGGAAAAAGTTCAGAGAAGAGCAACTAAGATGATCCAAGGCCCGGAGACTAAAACATATGAAGAACGGCTGCAGGACTTGGGTTTGGCTAGTCTAAAGAAAAGAAGAAATAGGGGAGAGATGATAGCAATGTTCCAGTATTTGAGGGGCTGCCACAAAGAAGAGGGGGTCACGTTATTCACCAAAGCACCAGAGGGCAGGACAAGAAACAATGGTTGGAAACTAATCAAAAAGAGAAGCAACCTGGAATTAAGGAGAAACTTCCTGACAGTGAGGACAATTAACCAGTGGTACAGCTTTGCCTTCAGAAATCATGGGTGCTCCATCACTGGAGGTTGTTAGGAAGAGACTGGACAGTCACTTGTCTGAGATGGTATAGGTTTTCTTGCTTGAGCAGCGGGCTGGACTATAAGACCTCCAAGGTCCCTTTCTATTCCATTCCATTCCATTCCATTCTATTCTAAAAATTTTAATTTACTGTTGGCGTTCTTGAAGAAGGATTAAAAACTAAGATTGGAAAAGTTGCCTTTCCCCAGATGATCCTAGACCATAATCCATACTAAGCACCAATTTTCGACAGAATTGGCTGGATCTCCTTCAGAACCAATGGACTCATTTGGGGATGTTGAATAACAGGAGTTCAGAATTGATAGCTTTGATTCTGCTCATAGTGAGTAAACTATGGAACATATATCCTAAGGGAAGGACAGGTTCCTACAGAAATTGCTGATCTATCCTTTTCATCTGGTATGGGAGGACTGGGATCAAATAGGCAATCTTTGGACAACCGGAGAGCTTCTAACGAGTTATTTTTTATTGTTGAAAAGTTATAAATCACTCTAGCAACCGATTTTTTTCAAGGACAAATCCTATTTATAGATTCAGTTTCCAAACTCTTGCCCATGTTTCCTTTACCGGCTCTACAGAGCAGACACTCTGTTATCGTCTGTCCTTTGTTTTGGAAACGCTCAAATTCGTTCTCGGCATGTTTGTTTAATTGCTGCAGAAGACTTAATTTGAACCCTAGTTTTCAGTTCATCAAAATTTGACGGTACCAACAGAAGAGAATGTTTATAGCTCAGGGTCAAATTGTGGGGTCTTTGGTGCTTTCTGAGCTTGGTTGTTTTGTTTTGTTTTGTTTTTGCAGACATTTCATTAACCAACTAGGTAACATCAGCAATGCTTCTAGTTCAGGGCTTTTCAACCAGTGGTACGGGTACCACTTGTGGTACATTGGCACCTGGCAGGTGGTACGCGACCATTCTAGAAAAGTGGTAGCGGGAGAGGGAATGAACTGAACCAGTGGCAGCACCGCACAAGCCTGAGCGAGAGATGGCTGGAGCTGCAGGGCTGTCAGGGCTCAGCGGAAGTGCCGTGATCAGCGCCAGGCTCCAGCGGGAGCTCGGTGCTGATCCTGATGCTTCTGCTGAGCCCAGAAGAAGCGCCGATCAGCTGGAATGTTGCAGCATCTCCAGGGTCTTAGTGATTTACATTCAGATGCTTGGCAACTGATTCATATTTATGACGGTCACAGTGTCCCAGTTTCATGTGAAGTGACCAAACCTGCTGCAACCACCCAGCAGATGGGGGGGAATAAAAACCAAGCACCCCCCACCCCACCCCCGCTGCCAATCCTCAACAGAAATGCTCACAACAATGAAAACCTAGGACAGGAGGAAGAGCGCCGCCGGATGGGCAGGCAGGTGTCTTGCTCGACTGTGGCTTGGGGGGCACTTTTTTCAGTGCCATTGTAACTTTGAACAGTCACTAAGCAAACTGTTGTAAGTCAAGAACTATCTGTACTTCATCACTTTTTTTTTTTTTTTTGGTCCACAGGTTTTTGACACCTTGCTAGGCGACTGGTGGTACTCGGATATTGCCATATCCTAAAAGTGGTACAATGGGTGAAAAGGTTGAAAAGCCCTGTTCTAGTTCCTTCTAGCACTGACGATTATTACCTAATTGAATAATGAAATATCTGCAAGAAAAGAACCACATTCAGAGAGCACCCAAAGTTTGAATGGCTACAAGATTCTATGAGTTCATGACTAACTGGAGTAAATTTTATGGTTTAGAAAATGTCATGAAAGCTGTCTCCGGTACTGAACAAAACAAGACAGTGCTACTTTTCAGAGACATGTAAGTGGGTTCCCCCCCTCCCCCCATTTTCTTCGTACGAACTATTGGAACCAAATGCTCAACTATAGAGGAAACTGGTTTGATCCAGCATAGTATATTTTGGGGGGAGAAATGCTGCTATTTTTAACTATTTGGACTTTCTTTCTTATGGACGAACAGTCGGTACATGTTACATCCAGCCTCCAAGAGTGACAGATCTTTGTCTGGTATAAACTATGCAGCTGTATCCAGGGCTTTTTTCGTCATAGAATGCCCAGAATGGAGTTCTGGCACCATTTTTGGATGGAACTTTGTAGGGTAGGCAAGGCAGGTTGTATAACGTGTGTGAGTTCTGGCATCTTTTTTTTTTTTTTTTAAATAAAAAAAGCACTGGCTGTATCCCCCAGACACATGGAATGGAAGAAACAAAATTGAGATTTTCCTGAGCTGGAAAATGTCAGATTGTTTTAGAGTTTTATTTATACTAAAGGGGATTTCTGTGTAGGATTTTTAAAAATCTCCCTGAAGTGTCATCTGCCTGATCTAGAGGAATGGTATGGACATAATATATCTTGACTTCAACAAACCATTTGATTTGATAGATCATTAAAATTTTGATTACCAAAGTAGAGAAATATGAACTGGATGGCTGCCTATTAGGGATATCCATGGTTGAATTGAAAACTCTACTCAAGAGACAGTGGGGTCCTCTGAACTGGGTTGTTTTCTTGCAGACATTTCATTACCCAACTAGGTAACGTCATCAGTCAATTCAACCCAACTCAAGAGACAGCTCATCAATGATTCCTCATCAGACCTGGAAAAAGACACTTCAAGCTTCAGCCCTGAGTCTCATACCCCTCTATATTTCATTCATAACTTTGCTAAAGAAGGAAATAATTATCACACCCACTACTAGTACAAATCTTGGTGGAACACCTAATAATCTAGAAGATAAAAACAACATTCAAAATAAGTTTGTCAGTTTAGAGAAATGGCTGAATCATCACACCTTCCCCCAGTGCATCTCTTCATATGTGTGGAATTCCAGCAACCTAGTTAGCATGTTGGCTAGTGATTATGTAAGATGAAACCCAAGACAGACCAGATCAGAAAAAAGTTGCTCTGTCTTCCATGGCTGGTCATATGAACAGTGTTAAACTCTATTAAATCTCAGGTTCAAGAGCTTCCAAATCTCGGCAGAACAGTGTCTTTCGGTTGCTTTCCACAGATTGAGGACAAAGATTTATAGAGGCTTCTAGGTTAATCTCCCAGTGGGCCTTTCTAGGTCCAAAGTGATTCACACCACTCTGTGTTTTAATAATAGTGGCCCGTATCTCCATTTGCAACACCTTTTCCTTCTGCAAGCTGCCCAATCCCTGCCCTTTTCAAGCAGAAAAGTTGCTTGACAACTTTTCAGCTCTCTCCTAATGATTGGGGATGTGACATTTGAGCAGACAATATAAAATCAGAACGCAGAAGAGATATGGGTGGTATACAGTCATTGTTTTTTTTTTAAGCCCCTTTCATAGGGAGTGGAATTGAGGTTGCTTTTTATGCTTTGCTTTATTATTGCAGGCCCTGTGGCAATTCAGGGCAGGATTTGTGATTTTGTAGCTCAGCATTTTGAGGTCAACGGGTTCAAGTGTGGCCACAGTTATTGTTGGGACCCTCCGGGCAGTGAGTGCCATCTTGTTCAAGCCGCTGCTTGAAAAGGAAAAGAGATGGCTGGAGAGAGGCAAGGAGGAGGGGGAGAAGAGGAAGAGAACAAAAGGGGAGGGACTGTTAAATCTATCTTTTCCCTATCCTCAAGAAACCTGTGTGAAACTGTCAGATTCGAAACAAAAAGGAAGACAAATGGCCTTTTCCATTCCTAGTCCCTCAAAAGGTGGGGTGATTGAGCTAGAAGGAAAAGCAAAGAGCATGGGGGAAGGGAAGAAGATCAGGACATCAAAATGGGCAGGTACTAGGGGGATTATTTATTTATTTGATTTTTATCTTGCCTTAACACTCAATAAGTAACTCAAGGTGGTGAAGATGTCTAATCTCCTTTCTCCTTTCTTTTCCCACAACAACCACATTGTGAGTTAGCTGAGACAGAATGACTGGTTCAGTCACCCAAAACTAGAACTCACCATCTCCTGGTGATTGGCCCAAAGTCACCCAGCCAGCTTTTATGCTAAGGTAGGACTAGAACTCACTGTCTCCTGTTTTGTAGCCTGGTGCGTTCACCACTAGACCAAGCTGGCTTGCTAAGAATTGACACCAACCTTGATGGCACATACTCAAAATTGGGGTGGAGGCTAGAGTCATTAGTCTAGGGTCCCTTTCCTAGAAACGAACCCTCGTGTTACCTGGAATGGACTCAGACCCAAGCTAGGGTGGGGTTTTGTTTGGGGAGGGGGTTTGTGCTTTTGGGTTGGATTTCTTTACAGACCAGCATCCCCTTGTGAAGTTTAGCACTACCAAATCTAACATTAGCCACTGTGAGCTGGCAAGCCAAACCAAACCAAAATACTTTTTAGTAAAACTATTTGAGTTCTCCAGGACTAGAAAAAGCACATTTTTGTACAGGGTGGGGAGATTTTAACACAGAAAGCTAGTTGTGGGAGGAAGAAAATACCCAAGATGTCTAAACCACTATTGGAAGGAGAGGGATTAAAACTCTTAAAGGAGGCGGCATTGCTGCTTTAGAAAAAGCGTTGAAACTCTCTGAGGCGGATCCCTTCCTTCCTTCCTTCCTTCCTTCCTTCCTTCCTTCCTTCCTTCCTCCCTCCCTCCCTCCCTCCCTCCCTCCCTTCCTTCCTTCCTTCCTTCCTTCCTTCCTTCTCCGTTACAACCTTCACATGCCAAAGCAAACCGCCCGGCGCGATTTCCAGCTGAGAAATCCGCCACAAACAACAACAGGCTGCTTTTAATTACAAGCCGCGCTTCTCTCCATGGCAGCCTCTCTCTCCCCGAGGAGCGCCGGTGGAAGCCACCAGATCGTGCCTCCCGACCGCCGCTCCTCCCTTGCACAGGGTCCTGCTTTGCCCTGCCAAATCCAGCTTGCCCTTGACCCCTCCCCACCGCGCCCCGTCTTTCCACTCGGGTTCCCATTGTTCAGGCGGGAGACCCCCCCCCCGGCACCTACCCCAAAGCGCCGCCAGCAGAGTCGAGGCGTAGGCAACCTTTGTCAGCGCAGCCATGATTCCCACGGAACTGGGCGACGGGTTCCTCCGGGGGGCTGCTCAACGGGAGAGCCAAGGCAGTCTGGGTAGGGCTGGGCTGGGCTGGCTTCGTGAGGCAGCGCCGGGTTCGACCCGGGGAAGAGCGGATTAGCTAGGAGCCCGGCGCCTTTAGAGAGCCGTAGGGGCGCTCGCAACCCCGGCCGCCGGTGACGGGGCGCGATTCAGCACCACGGAGAGCGCCACCTGCGAGACTCCCTCCGCGGGCGAGGGCGCGGGCGCCTCCGGGTCCAACTGGGCAGCAGCCGTTCCTCCAGGGCTCCGGCGCCGCGCCTGATGGGCACGAAGCCCCGATCCCTTTCCCCGGGGGAGGCGGCTCGGCTTTTCTCGTTGCGGGAAGGGGCTCAGCGCCCTTCGCTGCTCCAGCGCGCCGCTCGGTCCGACCTCCGACGCCTGGCGCTGCGCGAAGACGAGCGCGGAGAGGTTGGACCGGAGCAGCCTACTGGAGGGTGGGGTGGGGGGTAGAGGAAGCCCCCGCCCCGTAGAAGCATGCGCAGATTTGTCCTTGGCAAAAGCAGGCACGCCCCCACCGCTGAACCCGCGGCTCCCTTGCCTTGCCAGCGCAGGGGCGAAACGGCTGCTGCGCGCCGCGCGCAAACTCGGATGCGCCTGGTTGCCCGTCGCCTGCGCGCCTTTCTCCTGCTGGGTGGGGAAGCGGGGCTTTCTAGGAAACCTGCACCAGCGAGAGTGAGATGGAAACCGTTACTCTACCAGCAGGTTGTTCTGGGAAGTAATGTGGTTGGCGAGGAGAAGAGATTGGGGAGGAAAGCAAGCCAATCCGAGCCAAGCCAAGCCAATCGAATCCAAGCTAATCAAATCCAATCCAGTCGAATCCAAGCCAAGCCAAGCCAAGCCAAGCCAAGCCAAGCCATCTTTTTTGCAGGCCCACACTGCGCCTTTCTCCAACTCTGTGTTGTGGTTTTTGCCCTTCCTACCATCAAGTTTGAGTGCTGTTGGGGTTCATGACCTGGAGGGTGTGTGCGCAAGGCTCCTTGGGTGGTTTTGTTGGAGTAGGCTGAATTTGATCACCTGACTATGAGGATGCTGCGATGATCATAAGACAGAGGGTCAGCTGTAAATCACTTTTTTCTCCAGTGTGTTTGTAACTTCAAACAGTTCCTAAATGAATGGTTGTAAACTGAGGACCACCTGGACTCAAGAAGAGGCCAGAAACACAGTCTTGACACAATGTGCTTGATGTTCTTTTTTAAAATTTGATTCCCTTCCACAGTCCCTTGTGTTTACCTCTAATTCCACTGATGCATTTTATAGATCTGCTTAGAATCTGGACAGGATATGACAAAAATTGACTCCCAGCCATTTGTCATGGAACAGAGACAGCAAAGGCAAGCCAGACAATCTCTGCAACATGAAGACAGGGTGAAGGGTGTCTCTGTGAGTGAGATGCTCAGTTTCCAAATTTGATACCTAAATAAAATAAAGAAATAAGGATGAAAACCTGGATGTCTTCCACCTAAGTCACAAGGCTCAAGTTGATTTTCCTGGATGTATGGAACCAGAGAGTAAATTTCCAGCTTCAGTACCACAGTTTCCATAGCTGGGGATCCATCCCTGCCATAACAGTGTATTTACACTCAGCTCAACACAAGTGCAAGGGCACAGAACTGTAGACAGCTGTTTCACACCAGCCAGTTGGTCCCTCAAACCACGTATTTGCAGATTGAGTGTGTTTCCAAACATTTGGACCCAGACCTTGCCCATTCCTTATCAGAGGATATTAATGTCAAGCAGTGAAAGGAAAACTTTGGTTGTCTTTGCCAAGGATGAAGCCTGGAATTGCTGCCTTTAAAAAGTGTTGGTCCTTGACACTTAGCATAGCAATAGCAATAACACTTAGACTTATATACTGCTTCATAGTGCTTTTCAGCCTTCTCTAACCCATTTACAGAGTCAGCTCCCAACAATCTGGGTCCTTATTTTACCGACCTCGGAAGGATGGAAGGCTGAGTCAACCTTGAGCCGGTCTGGATTGAACTGCAAGTCAAGCCTGCAATACTGAATTGCACCACCATGCACCGCCACTGCGCCACCATGGGAAGGAAGAAAGGCAAGATAGCAATAGCACTTAGACTTATATACTGCCCCATAGTGCTTTATAGCCCACTCTAAGCAGTTTATAGAGTCAGCCTATTGCCCCCCATAATCCGGGTCCTCATTTTACCGACCTGGGAAGGATGGAAAGCTGAGACAACCTTGAGCCAGTGAGAATTGAACTGCTGAAGTGCTGGTAGCTGGCAGTCAGCAGAAGTAGCCTGCGGTACTGCATTCTAACCACTGGGACACCACGGCTCTGAATGTTACAAGTCTCCCTCCTAAAGAGGTCCGTCTGATGGGACCAAGACTTTCTCCATGGTGGCTCCCTCCTTGTGGAACATCATCCCTGCAGAGATAAGACTGGGTTCCCCATTTTGGCACTGTTTTGCAAGGCCCTGAAAACAAGATTTTGCCAGTGGTGTGGGGATTCCAGAATGATACGGAGCCCATCAAGGAGTGATTTGATTGTTGCCATCAGGGGAGTGGGGGGTTTATTGGCTTTTGTACTATATTTAGGATTTTATTTCAGCCATGTGGCCTGAGTCATTGTGACTGAGTTGGGCAGCCGTATGCATTTTCTAAATCAGGGGTCTTCAAACTTGGCCCTTTTATGACTTGTGGACTTCAACTCCCAGAATTCCTCAGCCAGGCACGCCGGTTGAGGAATTCTGGGAGTTGAAGTCCACAAGTCATAAAAGGGCCAAGTTTGAAGAGCCTCTTCTGAATAAATAAAGGAATCACTCTTCTCCTGCGTGACAGACTTTGATACATCCTGGGAAATCAGCTGAAGAAAACCTACCATTAATTTTTGCTTCTCTTCTGCTTAGCAGCCTCAAAGAAGGAAACAGAGCTAGTTGTTTCTATAAAGGGCATTAAAAAAAAATAAATCCTAGGGTTGATTCTGGGATAATCAGAATTCCCATCTAGAGGAAGCGAGGAAGGTGTGCCTTTAATTGCCTCTCAATGTTTGATAGATTTTTAACTGAGACCGTTATCTTGCTTTGCTTTTATTTTTGTCTCTGTCTGTGCTTTATCTACTGCTACTAATCAGGTGGGCCAGCTATATAAATTCTAAAAAGGAAAATAATAAATAAATATCTTCTGGAAGCATCAAAGACTTTCCCCTCCCCAAATTGGCAGAGATGCAAACAAATCCACCTCTTTCTCTCTCATTCCCTGCCCAGATCAGAGAAAGCCACAGCTGAAAAACCTTCCATAGAAATTGCAAATGCTAGAGACTAGCAAAGCCACTCTCTGCACGGGGTTGCTATGGGAACCAACCCAGCCAGGGCAGTAGAGGCAAAAGAGAGAGAGAAAAAATTAAAAATAAATAATTAGATTTAAAAGGGACCTGGCTCTTTTGTATCAAGACAAGGAGATAAGGTGATTAAAGTCAAATAAGGATGAGCTGAGCTGTCTGCGACAGACGAAGGGGAAAGCAGAAACGGTGCTCCACCACGAGAGGCCTCGGGTTCCCTACGATCTTGTCAGAATGAATCCTCATCACGTCAGCCGAAAGTGCAAAATGCAAATAATAAGTGTGTCTTTCCGCATGCTGACTTCTGTATGCCATGGGGTGGGGGAATCAGTTGCGGAAGGAAGGGAGGGAGGGAAGGAGGAAGAAAGGGAGGAAGGAAGAAAGGAAGGAAGCGAGGGAGGGAGGGAAGGAAGGAAGGAAGTGCAAAATGCAATTCATGCACAGATTATTCTATTCTATTCTATTCTATTCTATTCTATTCTATTCTATTCTATTCTATTCTTATCAGAAAGCAAGTTTTTCCATTGTTCATCTTCATCCATAGTTCCATCCTTCTCCTTTTTATCTTCAATTATATCCTTACTTACTGAACCAGCTCCTTCTTCTGGGAAAAACATACTCAGTGGGAAAGTACCTGTTTCACAGAGCAAAGGTTTCAGCATCATTAACCAAAGCTGGTTAATGATGCTGAATGTTAATGTATATGTATGTATGTATGTGTGTATGTATGTATGTATGTATGTATATACATCCAGTCTTCAAGGCCAACTCAGTGTGCCTATGTGGTGATGCAGAGTGATGCTCAGGATTAGGGCTCAACAATTTTGGCTCACGTTTTGTGACTGGGACAGCTGGGCAGGGTTTAAGAGCCACATGGACAACGAGCTAAATTTTGTAGATGTGTTTTGTAGCTTTGGAGGCTTTGGGAAATGGCACCTCTGCAAAAAAAAAAAAAAAAAAAAGGCAGTTTTGTTGACACCTTCCTGACAGACAGTTGAGGGGCAACAAAAGAAGAATGAAGGGGTTGTATTAGCAAGGGAACAAGGGAAAAGAAAAAAAGCTCTCTTTTTGGGAAAAATTAATCTTTCAGTAGACCAGGCTAGGAAACCAACTCATGAATGCTATTTGTTTCTTTGTTTGTATCTTACCTTAATCATTTTTACAAATAACTCAAGGCAACGAACATACCCAACACACCTTCCTCCTCCTATTTACCCCATAACAAGAACCCTTTGAGGTGGGCCCGACTGAAAGAGAATGATCCAAAGTCACCCAGCTAGCTTCCATGCCTAAGGTGGGACTAGAACTCACTATCTCCTAGTGATTGGTCCAACGAGGTAGCGCAGGTGGCGCAGCAGTTAGAGTGCAGTACTGCAGGCCACTTTAGCTGACTGTGTTCAGCAGGTCAGCGGTTCAAATCTCACCGGCTCAAGGTTGACTCAGCCTTTCATCCTTCCGGGGTAGGTAAAATGAGGACCCAGATTGTTGGGGGCAATGTAAATATATATATATATACATTGCTTACTGGGGTACACCGCTTAGAGAGTGCTTGCACTTAAAGCGGTATATAAGTCTCATGAATAAATAAATAAACGTCACCCAGCCGGCTTTCATGCCTTAGAAAAGACTAGAACTCACCGTCTCCTGGTGATTGGCCCAAAGTCACCCAGCTGGCTTTCATGGCTAAGACGGGACTAGAACTCACAATCTACTTCTTCTGTCCTGATGACTTAACCACTAGATGAAACTGGCTCTCAGTTTGAAGATTAAAATAATGCCCACTTAATCTTTAAATCTGTTTTATATTCTACCTAATTTTCTCCACCTTAGTACTACAACAATACCATTAAGATTCAGCTTGAAATACCTATAGGTTTTAGGCGTTTTAGTGAGTTTAGCCATTTTAAAAGTGAATACATAGTTTCATAAAATAGTATATAACTTACCTAGATTTTTTTTAATTTGTAATCATAGTTGACTTTGAAATCTTTATATGACCTTAATAGCCTTGGTACTATATTTTTACTTTGATACTAGCATCTTAAATCATAGTTATTCTTATCGTAAGTAGGCTAAACTTACTGCAGATTTGTTTATTTGTGTCAGAAGCATCACGGTCTAAATAAGGCAGGCATGTCAAACTCGCGACATCACGTGACATTGCGCAATGTATCAGGCCGGTTTGGCCATTGCCGACAATGGGGTGGGCGCGGCTTCCACATGACGCATCCGGCCCGTGGGCTGGCAGTTTGACATCCCTGAAATAAGGCATTCTAAGTGACATAAAATTTAAAATATTTTAAATAAAATAAAAATACTAAAGGTAGATAAACAACCTTCGTAACCTAGCTAATTATATACCCCTACACGTACGGAATGTTAGCCAGTCTGTCCAGGAGCCCCTTTCCTTGTCCTGGTTCTTCTTTTTCCTTCTGGCAGTTGTTCCCAAAATGTCCACTTTCTAGTAGGGAAGAGCATAGTCCCATTGCCT